CAAAAACTAATCAGCTCTTAACCTCAAAAAATGATGATGAATGCCGTTTGGAAAATAAAAATCGGTTCATTCTGGTCGAGCAATTTTTTTTAATTTTTATGTTCTGTCCTAACTATCAACTCCGCATTTGACTCCTTTTTATGTTATATTTTCCTTACGAGCTGACTTTTTTTTAAATGCCGGCAACGCACCTACGATTACTCTGTAGTAGTTGTTGATTGACGGGAGACACGGAGGTCGTCGCTCGTCATCGAATGAGTCGTTATGTACATTTTCCCCCTCTAATATAAAAAAATCGAAAACCTGCTATTCGAATGAAAACGATTTTAAGACGAGAGAGAATGGAGAATATTTAAAATATACAAGTCGAAAAAGTTCACCAACGAAGAACGGGGAGACTTTTTACTTGAAAGGAATCATTTCATCGTGGGCCTCGGGAGTGACAACGTGTGTACATTTAGATAACCATGGGCCACAGCATCCACTTACCATCAGGTGGACTCTGTGCTAGTTTGTCATCTTTTAGTTTTCATTAATTTTCTTCCTCGCACAACTTCCTTGTGGAATCGACTACAAGCAGAGACTTAGGGACCTTCAAGAAAAGGGCTTAGTCCTTTTTAAAAGGTCGGCAACGCATCTGCATTTACCTTGGTTCATGGGCTGCGGGCGGTATCACCATCAGGTGAGCCGTACGCTCGTTTGCCCGCTCTCCTAAAAAAAAGATGGAATACAGTATATAGGGCCTCCGGTTTTCTATAGTCACTAGACAAATCACACGTTAAGCTGCTATTTTGCGCTGATATTCTGTGAGAGCGCGTTCCTTCCACGGTCTAACCGATCCATTCGTGCTACAACTATAATATAGCTGCAGCACGGCTCCACATGATCTTTTATGGAAAGGCCCGTGCTGGTACAAGCTGAAGTGGCAACTGGCCGACCATACAGTTTGATAAACTGAATGTAATAAATGTAAGCGAAGTATAGGGTGACCACCCACTAGATGAAGTAACGACCTGGTAAGAAATGCATGTGTGGCCGTGGAAGAAAAAGGGGAGATCTCCCACCGGGCAAGGTGTTCTGCCCGGGGAGCGGCCGACACTCCTGTGTGATAGTTCGGAGATGTTCTATATATACTGTTTATGATTCGGAATGTTGATAGCGTGATTAAGCTTCGGTGTATTTCGCTTGTGGCGCGACGACAGCGCCGCTACATCACCCCCTGCTCAGACCGGAGGTCGATAGTGCAGTCGAGTTGTCGACGAATGTGCAAGTGCCAGGAGATTGCCTTGTAGTCTGCGGTGAGTTGAGAAGAAGGCAAGTAATCTGCGAGAGTGCCGTGAAGCAGAGGCGAGCAGTGAGGCTCAGAGCCGTGCCGAACACTGTGTGGCGCAGAGAGTAGTTTGAAGGAACAGGAAGCATTATTATTCCAGTGCTGCGATGAACCTTGTGAAGCTAGATGGCTTGCAGGATATGAAGACTGCAGACGATATCTGCTCGGGAGCGAATGGGTGGGATATTCTATGACGATGATAAAGCTTGAAGTTTCCGATGGTTGTTTGGTTGCGTGTTCAAGATCACGTCGGGGTCACCACTGTGGCCGTAGAAAGAAAAGGGGAGATCTCCCGCCGGGCAAGGTGTTCTGCCCGGGGAGCGGCCAACACTCCAGTGTGATAGTTCGGAGATGTTCTATATATACTGTTTATGATTCGGAATGTTGATAGCGTGATTAAGCTTCGGTGTATTTCGCTTGTGGCGCGACGACAGCGCCGCTACACATGGATGCAAGTAGCTCAGGCGTGGCGACAGTGCTTCGTGGCTTTCCTTGGCGGACCTATGTTCAGCAGTGGACTCGTGATGGGATGTAATGATGACGATGTTGATTATGGTATCCAACAGCACACATTAAGATGATGCTGCGAATTCTCAAACTAGTTCCGACGAGTTATATGAGTGTAAGCAAGTGGTACGTATGTACGCTACTTTTTGCTTTTACGCGTATTTTTCCAACAGTGTCAATAGGTTAAGGTTAACGGGACATTTTTGAGTAAACAAATATAGGGTATGTTCCGAAATACAACGCAGTGTACTGTCCAATGCAAATGACGTCATGAATCGACGCTATACTGGTGATTCGTTCCAAAACATTGGACAGTACATGACGTCATACTTTTGCGCCATTTGGAAAAGTGTTGGCGATTATTTTGTCATTTTGTGCTCCAAAAATCATTATATCCTCCTAATGGATAAACCATCAATTATTCTATAATTTTTTTGTATTTGAATAAATGGAAACAAATTCTGGCATGCTTCATTCGGCAAACACACAATTAAAAATTGTTTTATTATGGCCGGATATCCGACACAATATGGCGGCGGCACGCTAATAGTACAATAAAGTGTCAAATGATGACGTCATTTGCATTGTCAATAAGTATTTCAAGTGTCAGTAGTCATTGACAGTAGACTGCGTTGTATTTCGGAACATACCCATAAAGTCAACACTTTTGATGTGCACTTTGCTCATTTTAAAAATATTTTGCTGAGTCAGATCGTTCTTTTTTTAAATAACGGTACCCGGCAACCGGCAGCCAGACATTGCAATGCATGCATTGCAATTTCTTTTTTGACAAGCACATTTGCACATCTCATCAGTGTTGTCGTAGTTCGTAGTGAAACGCATAGAAAACAAACAAACAAACAACATGTTTGTCAAAAATATTCGCAGGTAGGAATGAATGGTATAGAAATGAATTCGGGACAAATAAAGAAACTTTTATTTGTTGTATTCCTTTTAATTTTCTTGTAGAGGGACTTGTTGAAGCGATGGCGTAGGTTTTTTACTTTTAAAAATGTTTTGTAAAGGCCAATTTTGAATTGGTACTGGAAAACAGTATACATAAACATATTACAGATTGTATTTTAATCTAACACTAATGCTTATAATGACATCGATAAATTAAATATTGTTTATTTAATTTATATTTTACAATGGTATCGGAATACCATTGTAAAATATCAGCGTAATACGACAGTAAATAAATAGCCGGAGCTATACCACATCTAGTCTTTTTTTTTCTTTTTAATCTTTTTTGAGTTAGTAGTAGTAGAGTTGAGTAGTTACAACACGTACGAATTAACTTGAGACTCCGCTGGAATGCGACCCCTTCCCGACTCCCCGCACCGCGTCCCGCGCTGGCCGTGCGCGCTCAGTACCGATAGCATTTTTGTTACGGATACGCGTCTCGACTCTAGTTCGATATTTTTGATAATTGTTTGTTGTTTGGTTTGGACTTTTGTTTGTTTTTGTTACACTTGAACGTTATTTTATCTGTTTGTTGGTAATTTATGCTTTGTATTTTTATTGTGTACGAATCTGTAACACTTTTTATAGTGCAATAAAGTGTATAATAAATAAATTAATAATATTATAAATGAGAAAGTGTGTATGTTTATTTCTTTGTCCTTCCTTGACGCGTTAACTAAAAATAATATTATATATATTATAAAAAATAAATATTTAAAATGTATAAAAACGGCAACAGTATATCACTTATTACTTCACCCCTTGCCAGAACATTTTATTTTGTTTTTATTAATAATCTCATGCAAATCTCAAAAATTTCAAATAAAAAAATATTACGACGCATTATTTTGCACACCGTACATTGACAATTACGTCATCGGCCCAGGTCTCAAGTTAATTCGTACGAGTTATAACTCTACTCTCCATTTGGGCTTTAGGGTTATTACTCTTAATATTTGTAAAATTGAAATGTTTTATTATATATATTAAACATTGATTTGAGATCTAGGATACTCAAATAATGGAATGAAATTAATAATTTTCGTTAGAAAATCTTTGACTAGACATAACTAACGAAACTACCTAATGGTTGTTTTAATGGAATGGTGGCAGCATCTTCGTGATAACAACAGAAAGTTAATAAAAACTGCGGTTGCCAACACGGCTGCTAGGCGTAGCAACTGTGGCAACCATGAGGCAATTTATGGGGATCCCTTCCTATGTACAAAAGTGAACTTTCATAGGTTATTAGTGAACGTTAGAATATTACCTTGTCCACAGCTTGTTCTTATAATACGTAATTTGCTGAAATGGACGTTAACGTTTACTTGGATCAAATTATGTTTCTGATTCTACCACACAGATGTTAAATATTAAAATACAAACTGAGAAGAAAGAATCTCGAGTGGCAGCCTCGTACCACCGGTAAGTGAAGTATAGGCGGCTCTCACTAATTGTAGTGATGACCTGGTAAGAGATGTCTTTGAGTCGTAAAGTTACAACCGTTCCACTGCTGGGCACAGGCCTTCCCTCATTTCTGAGGGGGTATTAAGGCAAGGAAGTGCCCACCGCGCTGCCCCGATGCGTGTTGGCGAACTTCACATGTCTTTGAAATATTTTTTTATTCCTCAGACATGCAGGTTTCCTCACGATGTTTTCCTTCACTGCCAAACACGTGGTACATCAGCACTTAAAATTGCAATTAACAATTTCATTGGTGCCGGCGGGGATCGAACCCGGGTTACTTGTGTTCTGTTATATTTATAGCGAGCGATAATACGATAATTACGACTAGAGTCGTGGTAGCTCAGGTGGTTAATGCTGATGGTAATAGTGGTCTTAGAATCGTACTTTGAATAAATCTCATAAAGACTACTTGTAGGTGTACGTGTATACGTACGTGGTAGAGCCATACTGCTGCTATATTATGGTTGTAGCACAAATGAGTCGGCTCGACCGGGGAAGAGACCGCGCTCTTACAGAATACCATCGTAAAATAGCAGCTTAATGCTGCTGTGTTTCGTATGATGAGTGTAGAGAACTGGAGACTCTGTTTACCATAATAAGTTAAATATAGATACGTTTAGGCCACAGTATCCACTTCCCATCAGCTGGATGCAGGTTTGTCACCCTAATGCTATAAAATAAAAAATAAATAAAAAAGACTAACTACAAATTTAATTGTTCAACATTCCAGATCGATGAGATGTGGTTGGAGGGACCGCAAGGCGCTTGGGATGGAGCTCGCATAGCGCAGTGGGCGAAGGTACGGACCAGGCTCGGTCTCGCGCAGATACAGCACCACATTGATGAGCACGCACCGCCGGGCAAGTGGACTATGAGAGCTAAACTTGCTGATGGGTCACAGGTAGGTTGAATTATTTTGAAATGATAGTATATACAGAATGGGTCCCACATATATGCAATAAATGAAACCACAAGTAATACTAGTCCGTAGAAGTGTAGAAAAATTAAATATTAAATTAAAACCCGTAAAATAAAAAAGTGAAATTTTCAAACAAAAAAAATTAAAATAAATTCAGTAAAAGTGAACACTCTGTTTAGACAACGTACCTTGACCCCTTGGAAGAGTGACAACGTTGCACGCGGGTTGCACGCCGACATAAGACACCGCTGTCGATATGTCGCAATACCAATAGTTTGCACTGCGTGGCAACGTCGCTTTTTAATGTTCAAGGATTCAAGTTCATTGAATCATTGACTTAGTGACCCAATTCTATAGAGTGTTCAAATTTGCTTAAAATTAAAACTCTACTTTTTGACCTAATTACTGGACCGATTACGTTCATTTTTTGTATATCGTCAGCAAAGGCGATAACAAGTATATGGTTTCATTTATTGCATATATGTGGGACCCATTCTGTATAAAACCGTGTAGTGTGAGAATATCCACTACCTCACATCGTCCCGTGTAATAACAAAAGTAAGTGGAGGGAAACATATCATAGGACGGGCAGCAGCGTCCTCCGGACACCATAAAACTTAAAACTGCGGTTGACAACCCGATCGCCAAACCTGGCAACTTTGATTAATACACACTTCACATTTTTAATGACTTCCGGATCTACAATTTAACCTCTTAGCTACAAAAATATTTCGTCTGATTCCGTCAAATACCAAGTGACCGAATTCGGCCGCACCCACCCACAGCACTTTAACCCATAAATGCTTACAGTTAGAGACTACTTTTCTATGAAGAAGTTTAGCATTATAGGCTCAATATTAAATTTTCTATCCTCTAGTGCAATAAAAAGTCACTTACTATATTATATTGGATATTCATTTATAATCTACGTTCATTTAGTACGCCATTTTAGTGTAGATGTTATTGTGTTGATTTTTGGATTTTTCTATTGTTTTATTAATGTTTTAGTATAGTGTTTTATTATAAAATGGTTATGAAAGTTTTTGTGTGAATATAATTTATCTTTTTACGTAAATAATTTCGAGTAATATATAGAAATAATAGTGATTTTCACGCTGCCGACATCCGCTTGGTATGTACCCGTTTTTTGTTATCAAAATACAATAAAGTCATATTGTAATGAAGTAAAACCTGACTTTTGTTTAGACCAGAGGATTGAAAATTTTATATAAATTTCATAATGCGATAGAATATGTCGCATGCGACCGCTTGGGATTTGACAGACGAATGCGACTACATGGGATTTTATGGGAATGGAAGCGTTAAATTAGAAAAGCTAAGTTCCATCTGTATTGCATTTCTTTGTACAAAATATTAATTTGATGTTGTAATTATTTGTGTTTCTATATCTTGTAAAGATATTGATAAAAAAGTAATTTATAACACTTTTTTTTTTAAATGTCGTGGGAAGTGTAGTGTGGATCACGGTATCCATCAATGTAATACCTATTATAATAAACAGGACTTGGAAGATAAAGCTTGTCTCCTTTAAGAACGTCATTACAGCACATTGGTACCTACTGTTTGTTTCGTATGGTGAGTCTAGAGAATCAGAGACCCTTTTTACTGGAAACGAGGCGTTCCATCTCAGTCCTCGGGGGTGACAACGAATTTGCATTTTGGTCCTTAATTGAGCATAAATGTTTATGGGCCATACATTACCACTTACCATCAGGGGAACTGCGTGCTCGTTTGTCACCCATAAGTTTTGCCAGCCGGCAATTATAGAATAATTAAAAAAAAACACTAGGAATTTTTCCTGTATCGTGAGGCCAGTTCACATACATAAATTTCACAAGGACACACATCGAGATCCAGAACAATTGTTTGTAAGCCATACAAATACTTGATCCGTGCTGGATTCGAACCCGCGGCCCTCAGCACTGTGACTCATTGCTAAGCCACTGCGACACGGAGCCGTCTCGCATTTTTGACACTTTTTTTTGTAATTAAAAAGAATATTAACAATGCTACAAACATTACTAATATTCCCCTTAACCACTCGTGGTAAGCTTAAATTGCTTCTGTTACGTGTGGTTCACGCCATTAGTCGAATGGCGGATTCGAACCTAGCCACACAAAGTCACGACCTTTTTGCCCTGCCATTAGGCTACTGTCGCTACACTGCTGCCCGTTACCTTGGCGAACATTCAAAAATGTGATGTCTGCCTCTATAAAGCTAGTCAATTGCTAGTCAATACCGTAAGATCCCCTTCTATTTATTATTTCATCATCATCATCATCAACAGCCCTTCACAAGTCCACTGCTGAACGTAGGCCTCTCCCAAGGTATGCCACAAAGCACGGTCCTGAGCCACCTGCATCCATCGACTTCCTGCATGTCTTACCAGGTCGTCACTCCAGTGGCAAGTCGCCCTACACTTCGCCTACCGGTACGAGGCTGCCACTCGAGAACCTTTTTTCCCCAACGGTTGTCGGTTCTTCGAGCTATATGGCCGGCCCATTGCCACTTCAGCTTACTAATCCGTTGTGCTATGTCGGTCACTCTGGTTCTACTGCGGATATCCTCATTTCTAAGTTTCTCACGCAGAGAAACTCCGAGCATAGCCCTCTCCATAGCTCGCTGATTTATTATTTGCTTTCTATTTATAACTTAATTCACATAAATGATACGGTGCCATTCAGTTTTACCCGTTACTTGATAATCAATGCAATATTAATCTATAAACGACACAAGTCACGAGACAAGACTTCTAAGTCGTGAAGATTAAAATCATATTACAAATTTTATGGCCTGTATTTGTGTATATTAAGGCCTATTTTCGCTTGAGACATTTTCAAAATAATATAGTCAAGTGTATTCATTTTAATGTTGGTCGAGTTTATCATAATGAAGTTAAATTGTATGCTGTGGAATGACGGTGAAAGATAACTTCAATCAGCCATCAACCCATTTCGTCCCGTGGATGTCGTAGGAGGCGATTTTTTTTATAGAAGAGGGGGCAAACGAGCATGCAGCTCACCTGATGCTCAGTGACTGCCGCCGCCCATGATCAACCGCAACACCAGGGGAATTGCAAGTGCGTTGCCGGCCCTTTAGAAAGGAGTACGCTCTTTTCTTGCAGGTCCCTAGATCGTATCGGTCCGGAAATATCGTCGGTGGAAAACTATTCCACAGAGAGGTCGTACGCGGAAGAAAACTCTTTGTGAAACGTACAGTGGTGGACCGCCAAGCATCCAGATGTGGATGTATTGTTTGCCGAGTAGTGCGTTCACGAAATTTGGCGGCTGGGATTAATCAGAACAATTCCTCAGAGCACTCCTCGTAGTATAAGCGAAAGAAAATGCAAAGAGATGCAACATCTCTTCGCAGCGCCAGTGAATCGAGCCGCTCTGCGCTGGAAGCGGTCAAGTGGAAGCGGCACTCCAGAAATATCTTATAATAGAATAGAATCGAATTAGTTTTGTACGCTGGGGAAGGCAGTATAAGGGAATCAAGCTTTCCATGTCGTCCGGTGTGTGTCGCTAGAGGCGATTATCGCAAACCCCAGAAATTTCTTAGAATAGAATCATTTTATATATTTCATATAGAATACATATTTGAATTCATTTAAGATTTACCACTAGTTCGGAAATTCATGCTACAACCATAATATACCTGCAGCATGACTCTGTTATGTAAAAGTTTGCTTGTAATAAAAGAATTACACAGAGTAACAACATCGTTAAGACTCGTAGAATGACCTAAGCTAGTACAGTACTTTATACTGCGTGAACGAATAAGGGGAGTTTTAACAGTTATTAGTTTTCTATCCTCACTAATAGCATTTGTTTCACCAGGGTACGACTGCATTCTGGGTAGGTAACTACGAACTGCCACCGTTCCAGTTGACAGTCCGGCATGCGCCAAGAGTGCTGAGGACAAGTGAACGACTCGTTTGGACTGTTTGTGTGAGGTAAGTTCTAAACGATTATAATCGACTGCCTCAGTTTGCTAATCATGAGGTCCTGGGTTCGAATTCCGGGTCGAATTCACAGTAGCTGCCTGGATTCAGGAAGTTGGCAGTGTTTCACCCCCGTGCATCGGAAAGCACGTAAAGCCACAGATACTGCGCCTGATCTCTCTCCGGTCGTGTTGGATAACCGTAGCATCAGACTATGTGAGTGACGGAATTAAGAGTTCACCTGTGCTTGCGCATAAACTCGGGCACTATAATCCTGTCCTGCGTAAATAGCTAGTCTCCGTTGCCGCCGTGCCTAAAATTTGACCTGGAAGACATTATTATGTGGGTGTCTTCAAGATAAGAGTTAATAGGTTTCGCTTAATCTCCGGCTACAACACTTAGGTGCCGGAATGGCTTTTGATAGTTATAAAAAGGTATTTACATATTTGTTTTACTTACGTTCTAATTTTAACTTTAAGTGTTTTAGTAACTAAAAGTCTTAAATTTTTTTTACTAAAAATAATTATTTATTTTTTATTTGATGTACGTGTGCAGAAGTCTATGTGTGGTGTATGTCATTACAAATTTTCATACGTGATGGTGGTGCCGTGTAGTGGCGGTTGAGAATATCCACTACCCCCTATCTTCCCGTGGGTGTCATAAGAGGCGACAGAGGGAGACAGGCAGGAGATGGGCAGCAGCATCTTCCTGATAACAGCAATGATATAATAAAAAACTGCGGTTGCCAACCCGCTCGCCAAGCGTGGCAACTATGGCAAATATCCCCCCATCCGGCCCCAGTCCCCGGCGGCCCCGCTATTCCTGGCTACGGTGGCGACCATGGTAACGGCGGGGCAGGGGGTGCTAAGAATCTCCGGTGGAGGTTCGGTTGCCACCTACGACGACTCGACCTGGCAACATACAACGCACGCACCCTGAGGACTGATGAGAAGATACTGGAGTTGGAAGAAGAGGCAGACAAGTTGCGCTGGCATATTATAGGATTATCCGAGGTCCGAAGAGAGGGGGAGGACACTGTAATCCTCGAGTCCGGCAACTTGTTCTATCACCGGGAGGGCGACCATCTGTCCCAAGGAGGTGTCGGATTTATCGTCCACAAGTCTCTCGTCAACAACGTTGTAAAGATTGGCAGTGTGTTGACGAGGGTCGCGTACCTGATACTCAGAATCACCAAACGGTATTCGCTGAAGGTCATACAGGTTTACGCACCAACCTCGGCACATCCCGATGAGAAGGTGGAGGAAATGTATGAGGATATTTCCAGAGCCATGCATGCATTCCTCCAAAACCCACTACACGGTGTTGACGGGAGACTTCAACGCAAAACTAGGCACAAGAGAAAGCGGTGAGCTGAAGGTAGGGAAATTTGGAGTAGGGCAACGGAACCGTAGGGGCCAGCAGCTGGCCGACTTTATGGAGAAAGAGGGACTCTTTATGATGAACTCTTTCTTCCAGAAGCGGCCCCACAGGAAATGGACCTGGTCGAGCCCCGACGGTTCGACAAAAAATGAGGTTGACTTCATTATGACGACCAGACGACAACTGTTCAGTGATGTCTCAGTGATCGCAAGGGTGAAAACTGGCGGCGATCACCGAATGGTTAGGGGCACACTGAACCTAAACGTTAAGTTGGAGAGGTCTCGTCTAATGAAGTCAACGCTCCGTCCCCCCTCGTGCTCTAATCCAGAATCCCGAAACCTTTCAGCTCGAGTTACGTAACCGATTTCAGTGCCTAGAAGATTACAATGCAGTGGACGAAGAGCAGTGAAACTGCCAGCGGTCAGTTGCAAACCCCAAAGAACAAAAGCTTGATCACACTTCTGGAAGGGGCGGTCAACAGATTTCCAACAAAGACAGATCTCCAAATGCGTGCGGCGAGACTTACGCAAATTTAATACTGCTCGTATTGAAGAAGCGATTGAGCGGAACCAGGGCTCCAAAGTCTTTTCCAGAGATCTGTCTGCCAGTAAGAGCCAACTGTCAAAGCTGAAGACTGAGTGTGGCAGCATCGTTTCCGGGACACCTGAGATTCTGAGTGACAACAAGCCGGTTTCTGAAAAGGCTTTAGTACCATAGACCACATACATACCCTTCGGCAAATTGTACAGAAGTCCGAAAAGATCTGCCACTTCGCCTGGCGTATGTGGACTATGAGAAAGCCTTTGATTCCATTTGGGCGGTCTACAGTCTCTCAGCTCTTAACTCGGTATATCGAAGTTCTGAAGTGTTTGTACGGTAGGGCTACGATGGCTATTCGAGTACAGAACCAGAGTACGAAACCTATCCAACTGCAGAGAGGAGTAAGACAGGATGACGTTATTTCCCCGAAACTCTTCACCGCTGCATTCGAAACTTTTCAGCTACTGGACTGGAAAGGATACGGTATTAACATCAATGGCGAGTACATCACTCACCTTCGATTTGCCGACCATATAGTCCTTATGGCAGAATCGCTGGAGGACTTAAGCACTATGCTCAATGACCTCAATAGTGCCTCCCAACGGATAGGTCTTAAGATGAACATGGACAAAACAAAGATCATGTTTAATGTCCATGTCACACCTATGCCGGTAGTTGTTGGGAGCACTAAGCTCGAAGTTGTTGACGAGTACGTTTACCTGGGACAAATAGTCCGGCTAGGTAAGTCCAACTTCGACCGAGAGGTCAATCGACGGATTCAACTCGGCTGGGCAGCGTTCGGGAAATTACGACGCATCTTCTCGTCAGGTATACCTCAAAACCGGAAAACTAAGTTGTACAACCAGTGCGTGTTGCCAGTGATGACATATGGAACTGAGACGTGGTCCTTCACTGCTGGCCGTATGAGGACGCTCAAAGTCGCTCAGCGAGCTATGGAGAGGGCTATCCTCAGAGTTTCTCTGCGCGATAAACTTAGAAATGAGGATATCCGCAGTAGAACCAGAGTGACCAACATAGCGCAACGGATTAGTAAGCTGAAGTGGCAATGGGCCGGCCATACAACTCGAAGATCCGACAACCGTTGGGGAAAAAAGGTTCTCGAGTGGCAGCCTCGTACCGGTAGACGAAGTGTAGGGCGACCCCCCACTAGATGGAGTGACGACCTGGTAAGACATGCAGGAAGTCGATGGATGCAGGTGGCTCAGGACCGTGCTTTGTGGCATACCTTGGGGGAGGCCTATGTTCAGCAGTGGACTTGTAAAGGGCTGTAATGATGATGATGATGAATGATACGTGGTAGAGCCACTCTGCAGCTATATTATGGTTGTAGCATGAAAGGACCACACTCTGACAGAATATCAGCGTAAACTAACAACTTAATGCTGCTGTGTTTCGTATGGTGAGTGTAGAGAACCCGAGACTCGTTTTACTGGGATAGGGGCATTCCATCTTAGTCCTCAGGAGTAACAACGTATCTGTATTTTGATTCTTAATCGAGGTTAAATTTTGGTGTCTGTGGACCACAGCATCTACTTACCATCAGGTGGACTGTGTGTTTGTTTGTAATGTTTTATTCTATATAAAAAAACGAAGCATTCATTATTCGCCTTTAATGGTGACAATTCATTTTGATTTTTAATTGAAGATTCAAAATTTTATCTAAAATACAATATTTTGTTCTACCTAGCTTTAACATTCGAGTTCGCGTCCCATTATATACTCGTATATGAAAACCGATTCATAAGAAGTATAAATGCACCAGGTATCCGTGGAGCGAGGCGGTGGAGGGCATGCTGGTGATCAGACTACGCGGGGCGGGGGCGGCGGGCGACGGCGCTGGCGGGCGGCCGGGCGTGCGCACGGCCGTGCGGCTGCGCGCGCCGCGCGCCTGCCACCGCCACGCCGCCGCCGCCGCCAGGGTCGGGCTCGCCGGGGCCCACCCGCCACAAGTGCTCGTGGCGGACTTCAGCTTCCAGGTGCGTGGCTCCCGCAGGAAAGTAGCCTCCCACTATATACTTTATAATTGTTACAGGGATAAAACGAACTACATACTTTTTGTTAACAAGGTTTACTCCTGTTTCCACTAGAATTTTCTCCTCCATCATAGAGACAGTAATTAAATTTCGTAAAAAGAATCATTTGTAAAATTTATACTCTGTTTGACCGTTATAATCTCCCGAGAACTCCCGCCGGGCAAGGTATTTAGTCACACACTATTCTATCGTGCACAACTATTCTATATATACCGCAATGTTTCGGAACTTCGATAGCGTGCTTTAGGTTTCGGTGCGTTTCGCTTGTGGCAAGACTACAACGCCGCCACACTATGTGCTAATAGTGAACTTTATGAAGATATTATAAGAAAATACATCACCCTATTTCGTCCGTGGGTATCGTAAGAGTAAGAAGCAATATGTAGTATAATCATCTTGTACACCAATGATACAAAATGATTATGGTACAGTTGTGGCGGTGTAAGAATATTCACTACCCCTTATCAACCCGTGGGTGTTATAAGAGAAGACAGAGCAAAACATACTAGATTATGTGCAGCAGCGTCTTCTGAAATTACTCTATTGTGTTACATAGGGCAAAGCTAAGGTCTTTCGTAGCGAATGGACTTTAGAGACGAAACATCGTTATAGACACCAAAATAAGAAGGAAATTTTATAAAATTAGCAATACAATACTAGTGTTGCCTACTTCTGCTGGACCAGTTCCACTGCTGGGAAAGGGTCGAGAGGATTAGTCATTGAACAGTGTTAACTTAAAAACATTATGATAAAAGAGTTTTGAGCAGTCAAGCATTTTTTGTGTTTTTGGTGTTCTCTGGTCTTCTTTGTTTACAAAAACTGTAATCATGTACCGGGTTATTTTACAATATACACACAAGTTTGCAGAGAAGGTTCAAAATAAATAATATAGTGAATAGTGAAAAAAATAGATTTTGAAAATCTCCAACTTTCTGTCCTTTCTATCTTTTAAATTCAGACTGCGTGGTAATGCATTATTTTAACTGATTGACATTCATAAATATCTAACGCCTACTATTTTACTACGCACGCACACATTCTATTCATTCACTTGGTCGGCAAAATCGTTGTAAATTGAATCGTACACGGACGAGCATGCGTACGCGAGGATGTTTCCCGTAAATCACATTCAATTTGGTATAATTTAAAATTAAAGTAGAAGCCTTATTTATTTGTATTTTGGAAAACTGCACTAACTATATATCTTTATTTATATAATATTTGAACTTAAATATAAAATTTGGATACTCTTTGAAAAATGACCTTAATTATTTTTCACAGGAAGAAGGCACAAGGATTTGGCAGAACACAACGGTTGTCTCTCAAGTAGTAGACGATCCAGTGACCTTAGAATTTCTAACGAAGCATCAAGCGTTATTATCGCCCAGTCTGCCTTACAAGTTGAAGGTAACCATTTTCATGTATACTACAACCCTTACTCCCTGACTCCATGGCAGGAAGTCCTGATCTCTAACCCAATTTCAATACAAATTATTCATCATCTTTCAAATGTAAGAGTGCCAGTACATCTCCAGGGGTGGCAGCGCATTTATTATGATCGTATTCGCAGGAATCCTTGGGCTGCAGTAAAAACTTACGTTTACGTAGACTGACGTACACAAATAGAAATACGCAACATAAAAAGTTAAAATTATACTTAATATCAAAAATAAAAGTAAATTATTAAATTTATTGAAATTGAAACTAAATTTGCTCTAGAAAGAGCAAATTTAAAAAGATTACAATGTCTAGCTACTACTGGTACATTACTAAAAAATAACTAAGAAAAGCAACATACTCTGAATTTGTTGAAAATTTATACACATAAACACAGTCTACTCAATTACTACTAACAGTCGGTCATCAAAGGCGTCTAGACAGGGCTATCCCGCGCGGCTGGAACGCTCCCGAGCGAGCAATGGTCGCTCGGAAGCGCTACGCCCGCTCCTTCAGCTGTCCGCTAGAGTTGTCCTGTCACGCAAACAAATTAAAATGGGTCACACTACATGTGCGGTAAAAACTGTGGATCGTCCTAATTTATAGATTAGGAATTAAAGTTATTATAACCTATTTTTATTATTTCTGAACATTAATTTACTTTCTAACATTAAGGTACTTAATTTGTTTAACGTGAAACAAAATAAAAAATCAATAAAATAAAGTAAAAAATTAAAACAAACGGTTTTTTTTATTACTTCCCATTCTGACAACTCTAGCAATTCATTGTTTATATCGTCTTCTCCAATAATATCAAATGATGACTGACTGTATGTTCTTCTTCTAGGCTGTCATGTAATCATAAATACAATAAAGATGTACCTACTGGCTGTGTCCGGCAGGCATTACAATGTCTTTTTTGTCATAAAGCTTATTTATTTATTTAATAGTTTATATAAACACATATTTTGGTAGGAAAATGCTAAAAAGACCATATGTACAAAGGCACTGTTTATTCCACGATAAAATTTCTTCCATCACGCCTACTGAAGGATAGTTGAAGAAAATAGAGGTAGTCAAAGTGACTTCCTCACTGAAGGTGAAACCTTAGTAGTAATATTTATATAATCTGTATCGTCATATTCAACAACCTGATAATGATTTCCGAGGTACTTAAAGAATATGGACATATAACAGCATATTGGGATGAGTGCGGAATTTTTTTTGCATCCTATTTTTGTCAAGAGCTCCACTTCTCTCCTGCGGAACTGTCGAGCAGCGCGCTGCTATAACCCATGAGGTGCGATTGCGCCTAAGCTGAAAAGCTTAAGCATTTGGCTTATCTATTCTAGATCTTGGGGCAATTCATTGAGTCCAGGACCAAAGTACTAAGCTACTTCACGCCTGGACAGTAGCTTACTACATGCAAAGCGCAAGTCCGGTTATGCAAGGAGAATTGCTGTCATAAATGGGCTGGTGCTACAAAATGTCACCTAGCGGCTTCGGACTAAATGAAATGCCTGCTATGGAGCTAATTTGTAATAAAAAATAAATATGGCTTATAAAACATTCTTACAAGTCTTAAACATACGTTCAAAATAGCCAGCCTTTCAGTTGTTTTATAACATACATTTCGTATGTGCATAAATTAATTCCTTCCCGCCGTTTTGCTTTCAAAATACCACGCATTCGAACCAAACGGCTTGCTTCGTTATTCGTAACGTGTACACTGTACAGCAAAATAATGAAATTATTTGCCTGCATCTGTTTCTTCATCCGATCACAATGTGAGTGTTTTCAAGGCAAGAGGCTTTTCTTTGAACATAGTTAATAATCTTTACCATCTTCGGCTGCGTCACCACGTACTCTGTACGACTAGTTAGGAAGCTGTCAAGCATTGGGTTACAATAGTTAAAAATGTATATAATATTAGAATATTAACTACATTTATACTACAATAATATATAATATAATAGAATATGAAATATAATAAACAATTTAACAATAGAGTTGACGTTATTATAATTTAAATATCAGTTTTAATTATAATTTCAATAGAAATATAATTGAAACCTCAGCCATTATTATATCAAAATGACGATGAAGATATCAGAAAAGTGATCTGTTTGATTTTAATAGCACTCTTATCAATTTATTAAGGAGGGCATTAAGGCCTTAATTGGATTTACTTGTCGAATAAGTTAAAATATTAAACATAGAGTTTGTTGATAATTTTGAAGCTATAGAGTTATTTAAAGTTAATAATAACTCAGACCGAGTAGTATAATTAGATGAAATACGTTTATAATTTCACCGTGTAGTGGCGATGTAAGAATATCAACTAATTCATATTCTTACGTAGCTGTCGTAACAGGCAACGGAGCGAAACAAACCAGGAGGGGGGCAGCAGCCTCTTTCCTCATAATAACTATAAAAAATCTGCGGTTTCCAACTCTGTCAAGCGTGGTAACTATGGAAAATATCGCTCCTATAAGACAATCTATGGCGGAGGCCTATGTTCGTTCAACAGTGGAATTTTGAAAGGCTGTGCTGTTTGTGTGTTCACGAAACCAGCTTGTTCCTTTTTAAAAGGTCGCCAGCACATCTGCAATCCCCTGGTATTGTGGTTTGTTCCTTTCCGCTCTCTACTGCGTTTTAATATATCAAGTCTTCCCTACCTTAAAGAACGTTTCCAATTTCTCAGCTCCTCATAAAATTTCCCTTCGGTCCTTAGAAAACTTTTCCCTTCTATGTCCCTTGCACTCTTCTTCATTTTACAGTAAATCTTTTTCAATTCTTGGAGTGAAGCTTTGGAATTCCTTATCACCAACTATAAAACGTGCTCAAACAGTAAACTCCTTTAAAAACCAAGTTAAAAACATTATCTTTCCTTCTAAATTATCACTCCTCCTTTTATCTATTCCTGTCATTTTATGATCACTAGTCTGTCAATTAAGTAAATTCCGGCATGTTTATTAATTTACTTTTTATTTGTAGATTATTATATTATACTCTACCCATTAATTAACTTTTAACTTATTTTTATTTCCTATTTAGGTTGACTGGAAGAATTTGCTGCAAAGCAATAAGACCGCCTTTTGTTTTTCTTTTTGTTTGTTTCTTGTTATGTTGTTTTCTTAGTGTTCAATGAAGGGTATTGTATTGTATTGTATTTGTTGATGGGCGGGTTACACTTACCATCAGTGAAGCCGGATGCTCGCTGCGACTATTTATAGAAGAGCTTTTTATAGAAGAGGGGCTACCTCTTCTATAAAAAGCTCTAGAAGAGCCGTGGTAGCTCAGATGGTTAGCGTTCGCTGTAAATTTCACAGTATGCAAGCAACCCGGGTTCGATCCCCGCCAGCACAAATGAAATTGTTAATTGCAATTTTAAGTGCTGATTTACCACGTGCTCGGCGGTGAAGAAAAACATCGTGAGGAAACCTGCATGTCGGAGAAAAAAAACTAAATATTTCGAAGACATGTGAAGTTCGCCAACACGCATTGGGACAGCGCGGCGGACACTTCCTTGCCCCAAAACCTTCTCAGAAATGGGAGGAGGCTTTTGCCCAGATGTGGGACGTATATAGGCTGTAACTTTACTTTAATTTACTACCTCTTCTATAAAAAAATGCATCGCATCTATAGCAAAATTTCCCCTGTGAGGCAATCTATGGGGGAGGCCTGTGTTCAGCAGTTAACTGTTATAGGCTGTGATGGATGATGTATGACAATGGGTGCGTTTGGCAGAAAAAAGCGCTAGCAAGCGCTTATAAGCGCTGAAATAATTTTCGGCCAGGACACGATTGCTACTTCAGTAGCGCTGACACAATCCGCCATTTTGCTTATTTAATTTGTTTGTTTTGAAGTAGAGTTTATAAGTTGTTTTGTGCAATAATAGTTTTAAGTAATATAATGACATGAATAAACATATATATGTTATTAAAAATTCATGATCGGTAAGTTTTTTTTTAATATAAATACTTTACAAACATATATTCAAAATTAGGTTAGGTTCCCCGGTTAAAACTAACATCGTGTCCTGGAGGAAAATAGCTACTTACGATTTGACAGCGCTTACCGCTTACGATCGCCAGTTTGCTTACAAGCGCTTGCTAGCGCTTTTTTCTGCCAAACTCAACCAATATTGTGATCCCACAACAGGTGAAAGCAGTTCGATGGGACGACAGGCCGGCGAGCGGAGAACACGTGCGCGTTTGCCGTCGCCGCTCGGGAAAGGAGGAAAACGCCACGTGTGTGTTCGCCTTAACCGACGCACGCGGTGTCGCACGAGTCATGTTCACTGCGGACGACGACACCAGCGCTGTCTATCAGTTTGAGGTTCAGTATAAAATTGATATCTTCACTAGAGTAAAATCTGTAGATGAGCACACAGTCCACCTGATGGTAAGTGGTTGCTGTGGTCCATAGACATCTACATCTATCCTCGAGTACGAATCAAAATGCAGATGCATTGTCACCCATGAGGACTAAGATGGAATGCCTCGTTTCTAGTAAAAGGGTCTCCGGTTCTCTACACTCACCATACGAAAAACAGCAGCATTAAGCTACTATTTTACGCTGGTATTCTGTGAAAGCGTGGTCTCCGGTCGAGCCAACTCATTCGTGCTACAAATATACTACCAATATAACCGCAGCATGGCTCTACCACATATCCAATGTAATAAATGTCAGTTCCGACGAAAGACCACTGGCAAATAATCGATTCTTAACATTTTTACCTGTTCGATTTGCAGACACAAGAGTAAGACAATAGCAAATGACCCAAGTGTAGGTTACGAGACAGGGAAAGGGTTGAGGCCTAAATTTCAAAATGTGTTAGGCGCGTTGTGGCCACGCTAGAGCGACTGCGGGGAGCGGAGGCGACCGGCGGAGGCGGGAGGCGTAAAGACGCTGCGCCTTTCCACTATGGTATGCCACGTTAAGGCGGCTGCATGACGTGTGCTTTCTTCCTGCTATTTTTGCGGTAAAAATTACTTGAAGGGTTTTTTACACAAGATATAATAGGCAATAACAGTTCGTGATTTAAACTAAAACAGGCATCAGTTTGGTAAATATCGTAGACACTATGATGAAAGACGTCTATACCTACAAAAGTTTTGAGAAATATAATATTATGCATATAATTTTCATGCTTACTACACCATATTACAGCCTGAGATATTATTTCGCTAATAAACGTCTCCGTATTTATGTTATGCATCGCGGAAAATCAATACGTATTGATTAAAACGCAAGATGCGCGAACAAGCACTATGTCCTCTGCTGGTCGTGGTCGCTTGAACGTGGCACCTCTCGTTCGTCTCGTATTGTCATTTTTTCCGCTCATCGCAGACGTAAGACGCGACGCGCTAGCGTGACACACTACTTATAATGCAATGAAATTGTTGCGAACAGGCCAGTTTGAAGAACGTGACGGCGCGGCTGCAGGTGGCGACGCGCGTGGCGGGCGCCAGCGCCGCGTTCGGGCCGCTGCGTGCCGACTCGCGCGCCGCGCGCACGCTGCTGCCGCTCTACCTGCACCTGCGCGACCTCTCCGCGCCGCTCACCGTGCACTTCGTCGTACGTACACGCACTCTTGTGAACAACACACACACGCGTCCACACACACACACACACACATACACACACACACACACACACACACACACACACACACACACACACACACACACACACACGCACACACACACGCTCGAACGCACGCACACACATGCACATTATGTTGTATGAACAGTACTGTGTAGTGATGGTGTAAGAATACCCACTACCCCATATCATCCCGTGGGTATCGTTAGAGGCGACAGAGAGAAACTGAAACAAGCAACTCAAAGTAAAAAAAAAACTGCAATTGCCAACCTACTTCCCAAGCGTAGCATCTACGGCAAAATCTCTCCTATAAGGCAATCTATGGGGGACGCCTATGTTCAGCAGTTAACTTTAATAGACTGTAACGGTATTGTTACGGGCTTGAGGTTCGTGACAATACAAATTGCCGATAAAATTACCTAAATTAACACTTTAATTTACTTTACCAAATTAAAACTTAAAACACTAATAATTAAACACACTAATTCACTTTATTCCGCTCCGAAGCTTCGCTTGTCTCGCCAAATCCAATACTGCCCCGATCGCATCTTGCAGCGCCTATATATACAAATTAGCAATGAAGCATCCGGAATATTCAAGTAAATGCGCGCAAAGCGACGAGTGTTCGAGTGTAGATTTTCTAGAAACTTAGTTCTTCGGTTTGAGACTAGATGGCGCTGTTGATTGAAAGATTAGTGATGTCATTTTCTGCAAAGCTCCCCTCGCTCTCGTTCCTGACACTAGATGGCGCTAGTGTATGACGTTGACTTATTCACGCAACAGTATGTACATGTACAGTATGTATTGAAGTACCGCCGAAATTAGTTACCCATTGTTTTATATTTTTGTAACGAGAAGGAAGTATCGCTCTTCTAAACGTCTCTTTACCGATAGACTATTAGCGCTTGGTACGATAAAGAAGACGCTCTATAAAGCCGAAGCTAGCCGATTATCTCTTTCTAAACTGAATGTACTAATAATGTATGTAGCATTTACTACCGAGTATTGAACTTTTGTTTTTTTTTTACTTTCAAGAACCATTATAAATTTTCCAGGTAATAACCCGAGGGGGTATAATCTACCGATGGGGCGCCACGACGCAATGTCCAGTCGCAAGCTCCACCAATCAAATCCAACCAGCACCGAGGAACAGCACGTGCAACGCTAACCTGGAGAAACTCGTCCCCGACTTCGATTTCAACTTAAACAATCTCGACGTGGATCCCAACCAGCTCGACGTGAACTCTTCAGACTCGTTGCTCGACAGACATTTGCTCAGGGTCGTGTTGCCAATCAAAGTGACACACCAGATGTGCCCAGACAGCCATTTGCTGGCATATTTCTATCACAACGGTGAACTGGTCAGCGCGAGCAAGCATTTCGAAATGGACGAATGTTTTGGCAATAAGGTACAATTTAGATTTTTTTTAAAGAATACTAGTAACGCTATGAAAATTATTAATTCATCCATACATAACAGCATATCAGTCTATTGTATTAACATATATACTTTGGAGAGCCGTGGTAGCTCAGATGGTTAACGCTCGCTGTAAGTATAACAGAACGCGAGTAACCCGGTTTCGATCCCCGCCGGCACCAATGAAATTGTTAATTGCAATTTTAAGTGCTGATTTACCACGTGATCAGCGGTGAAGGAAAACATCGTGAGGAAACCTGCATGTCTGAGGAATAAGAAAAAAAAATATTTCGAAGTCATGTGAAGTTCGTCAACACGCATTGGGGCAGCTCGGCGGACATTTCCTTGCCCTAAAACTCAGACTCTCAGAAATGAGGGGAGGCCTGTGCCCAGTAGTGGGGTTAGGTTAACTAATTTTTTACTTTTACATATACTTTTTACGTGATAGAACCATGCTGTAGTTATATTGTGGTTGCAGCACGAATGGGTTATGGGTTGGCTCGGCCGAGGAAGGACCACGCTCTCATAGAATACCAGCATAAAATAGCAGCTTAATGCTGCTGTGTTTCGTATGGTGAGTGTACAGAACCGGAGACCCTTTTTACTGGAAACGAGGCATTCCATCTTAGTCCTCAGGGGTGACAATGCATCTGCATTTTGATTCTTAAAGTTAAGTTACAGCCTATATACGTCCCACTGCTGGGCACAGGCCTACTCTCATTTCTGAGAGGGTTCTGGGGTAAGGAAGTGTCCGCCGCGCTGCTCCATTGCGTGTTGTCGAACTTCACGTCTTCGAATTGTTTTTTCTCATTCCTCAGACAATGATAGATAGAGGAAACCTGCATGGTTTCCTCACGATGTTTTCCTTCACCGCCGAGCACGTGGTAAATCAGCACTTAAAATTGCAATTAACAATTTCATTGGTGCCGGCTGGGATCGAACCCGGGTTACTCGCGTTCTGTTATATTTACAACGAGCGTTAACCATTTGAGCTACCACGGCATTTTGATTCCTCATTGAAGATAAATGTAGATGTCTATGGGCCACAGCATCCACTTGCCATCAAGTGGACTGTGCGCTCGTCTGTCACCCTTAATCTATAAAAAAATTGTTATATTTACTACGCTGGGTTCTTATCGAAGATGCTGCTATACATACCCTCTGTCGCCTCTTATGACATCCACAGTAATTCTCACATCGCCACTACACAGTTTAAGATTACTAATGCTCTCGTTAAACGAGCCTAGTAAGCTTAAAATGCTTGTGTTAAAAATGATTCTCCACTGTAGCCGAATGGCGTATCAAATTATTATGACGTCTTAAATTGAATATTTTAGGTTACGAACTGCAAAAAGCTAAAGGGTCGTAAGTTTAAATTCGTCATTCAACTGTAAACGGCAGGTGAATGCATGCATTTAAGTTCAGAATTTTTTCCTTTATTAAAAAAATCTTACATATACCCGACTCACGGGGACAAGGACTGGTTATGTCGGACTTCTACCACCAAAACCCCACGGTGTTCCACCTTCACCGCATATAGGCAGGCCACGGGAACGCGCATACACACATCCGCACATTGACGGACCTTCCTCGGGGGAGAACAACTCCTCCCCTATTCCTATTCAAGCAATGCGTGCTGTTGAATCATGAAGCACTCGTAGTAACTTTAGTCTCTCCCGTTGTAGGGAGGTGAAGATCACAGTAACATTTAAGTACTGTTGGAAATTGGAATGGTTAAGGGGAATATCGGTAGGATTTTTGAAGTCAGGGTAGATTTTATATATATAGCGGGGTTTATGATAACTTCGCGAGGTAAACTTATGTTCTCTTTCTTGTTTTCTTTCTTTATCAGTACTAATTCAATATTTGGACATGGCCTGTTGAAGCCCAATTTCAACAAGAAATAGCCATCACAGCTACGTCAGTCAGAATATGTTTGCGTGATTTGCGTTGATTAACGTGATTTAGGCATCGGCTTGGGGGGCAACGACAGCGCCGTCACATCTCGTTTGCCAATTAATCACGCTGTAGTGGTGCAGGTGGAAGCGAGCTGGACGTCTCGTCAGAGTGCTCCCGGTGCGCTCGCCACCCTGCAGCTGGTAACAGCTGGGCCAGCGCTGTGCGCGCTGACAGCGCTGGACTCCGCGGCCACCTGGCTGCAGCCGCAGCGCAGCGTGAGAGACGTGCTCGTACACGACCTGAAGCGGCTCATCGACGTGCACAGGAATCTCACGCAGTACGACGCGGCTGCTGAGTGTTTCTTGAGTGAGTGCTAACTTGACGTCTCCTAACGCAGTGACTAAACTTTGCTGAGGACCGCGGATTCGAATCCTGCACGGAAAATGTATGAATGATTGTCTTTGTGAAACTTATGGTATTTTACTTCACGATACAGGAGACAATTCTGTTGTGAGGGTATGTTTAAGCAAAACATTTAAAAAATTGTAAAGCGTCGTGAGCTGAGCAGAGAGGTAAAAGTCCTCCTCCAGACCGATTTTCGGCCACGGCGGCCTGTCTCATCGGAGGCTAGCCATCGGCGCAGGACGGGATTATAGTGCCCAACTGTATGCGCAAGCACAGGTGCACCTCTATTCCCTCACTATCGTAATCCAATGGGACGGTAAACCGAAGACCAGAGAGAGATCAGGCGCAAGACCAACGACTTTACGTGCTTTCCGAGGCACGGGGGGTGAGACACCGCCAACTTCCTGACTTCGGGCAGCTACTGAGAATTTCTTGACAGAAAAACTCAATAGTTGATTTTTTTTTGCCCGACCCGGGATTCGAACCTAGGACCTCATGATCAGCAGTCGCACTACTACAACCACTACCAACGAGGTAGTAAGTCGTAATCGTAAGTCACAAAATGATACAAAGAAGTAGCTTAATGCAATTAGAAATTTTCTATTCTCTAAGTGTGACGTACAGCAAAATAGATTTAAAAATATAACAATACGAGTATATATTTTTTAATTCTATTTTGCTATTTTTATAAATGTACTAAAGTAATAATATATGGGTGTACATAAGCAAGAGTATCTACTTACCATTAGGTGGACTAAGCTCGTTTGTCGTTAAATTAATGCACTTCATATTTTAAATAGAATATTGAATTATAGAGAATTCTATGAAGATTACTAAAATTTATTTATTCTCATGTCATTTCAATTCATTCATGATTACTCGAATAGCGATAATTTGTAGTATTCAAAAATTTTCGTTTATTAACGCTCAATGATCTACCTTGATGCCAAAATTTCAAGTTTCTAATTAACGAAGAAGTGGCCTAGGTTACTGATGAATTAGTCAGTGAATTATTCAGTGTGTGATAAAAATAGCTGATTTAGACCTTAATAATTTAAGAATTATATTTTAGACTTTTATAAAACTTGAGATTTTAGGTATTCGAGGGTTTGTATTAGACGTCTAAAATGACAAGTGGGTAGTTCTAAAAGTTGTTCAGTTATATAGTGTTCGAAAATGGCTTGTAATAGATTCTATAAGTATATATGTTACGGATAAAAGCCGAAGTGCGGTCGCACCTGGTTCTAGCCGGCTAAAACTAGGTGCGGCCAGCAGTAGTTGATTAAATTTATGTGTACTGTTAAATTAGTAAAAAATACGTAATAAATGACGTAGTAGTATTAACGTAGGTGAAGGAACGGTTAAGGTGGCCCAAAGCTATCTTACCAACCACCAACCGCAGATATTTATTTAATTTATAAATTATGTGTGATACATTTACCACAATCGACTACAGCTTGTATTAGCCGGCTACACCCAGATGTAGCACTTTGGCTATTAGCCGTAACATATACACTGCCGATGCGTTGCCCTTTTCTTTTTGTCTTATCTGACACATCAGCTTGTCTAGATTTTTGTGTGACATTGGCCTGAGATGAACTAGATGGTAGAGTTCCTTTTCTGTCCAAAAGTCCGCCTGGGTAGACAGCAACACCTTTTTAACAAGTTCTGTTGCCAAATAATAGTGCTTGCACCGCTGTGTTCTGGACTGAAGGTTATAGAGAGGCGGTGTAATTTAGATCTGAGGCATTTCTTCTTAGACCTCAGAGACGACAATGCATCTGTAATCTTATTTTATTGGAAGAATTCTTTTTTTATAGGAAAATGGTGACAAGCGTGCACACTGTGGTTGCTGTGGCCCATAGACATCTACATATTATATTCTCGTTTGCGAATCAAAATGCAGATGCGTTATCAACGGTGAGGACTAAGATGGAATGCCTCGTTTCCGGTAAAAAGGGTCTCCGGTTCTCTACACTCACCATACGAAACACAGCAGCATTAAGCTACTATTTGACGCTGGTATTCTGTGGGAGCGTGGTCCTTCCCCGGTCGAGCCGACACATTCGTGCAACAATTTTACAATTAATATAGTTTCAGCATGGCTCTACCACTTAAAAAAATAAAAAGATAAGTGCAGGTGTCCATTAATTGCAGCGGGCACATCAAGTGGACTGAAGTTCGATTGCCACTAGTTGTTCTTCATTGTACTGCAGCGAGACACACAGAATACAGGCTATAGAAAGCTAATATAATAACAGGCTCTGAGGCACTTCTTATTAGACCTCAGATACAGTGCATCTGTAACTTTATTTTTTTGGAAATGGCTGCAGTCGTCCATAAATTGTAACCCTCCCGAGTTAAAAACGCATCTGTAGTCTTTAGGTTTTGTTTTAAAAATGTTTGAAGTTTTCTAAAGTGCAGCACGTTGCAATGATATTGTGGTTGTAGCACAATTAGAACGGCTCTATCAGGGACGGATCGTGCTTTTACCGAATACCAGCGTAAAATAGTAGCTTAATACTGCATAATTTTGTATGGTGAGTGTAGGGAAACGACGCATTCCATCTTAGTCCTCAGAGATGACAACGCATCTATATTTTAATTCTTAATCGAGTTTTATTATAGATGTCTATGAGCCTCAGTATCCACTTGCATTAAGTGGACTGCGGTGAACGTTTGTTACCCTCATTCTAAAAAAACAAAGAAGTTGTTTGCAGGTGTCCAGTAGCCACTTACCATCAGGTGGGCTGTAAGTTCTGGCCACTAGTCATTCATCATTGTACTGCAGCGGGCGAGACAGCAGAGTTGGCGAGTGGTGGTGGTGATGGTGGGGAGCTGCGCGTGTGGCTGGCGGCTGGCGGCGTACGCGCACTGGGCGGCCCGCCCGCCACCTTCCACTGCGACAAATCCGCGCCGGCACCACTCCTCGACCACGAAGCCACGCTACCCAGGACCGACTTCTCGGAGGTGAGCTCACACTACCGCACTCCTCATTTCTCAACATCTTATATAAGTTATAAGTTCTTTGCTATACCAGCAATTTGTATTTTGATTCTTGATCGAGGATAGATGTAGATATGTAGATGTTTGTGGGCCACAGCAACTAATTACCATTAGGCGGACTGTGTGTTCGTTTGTTACCCTATCCTATAAAAAAACACACATTTCTACCATGATATAAAGGCAAGCTGCAACTGTATTTTGGTTGCAGTACGAATGGCTCGGCTCGTATAGTGAGGGACCACACTCTTATATAAAATAACTTTACCACGGGTGCCAGCATACCGCAGTTAAATAATTTTTTTTTTGTAGAATAAGAATGACAAACAAGCACACAATCCACCTCATAGTAAGTGGATGCTGTGGCCCATGAACATATATCAACGCATAAAAATTAAAATGCTTTAGGACGTAAAGTTCAGTGCTGTGCATTTACCAATAGATACTTCAGTATCCACGGACGTAACTCAACATTTTTTATATTAAGACGAGAGACTATTCTTTTAACAATTCTAAGCCACTGCTTGATTACTATCTCGCCTGAAGTAAATGGTGACGCAGCCGCTGACTCAGTATAAGATCAGAATGAATAACACATGTTGGCAACTTAATCCTCTGCTTTACAGTACGCATGATGAACGATGAATTGAAAAAAAAAAAACATAAAAGGTGAGTTGACTTAAATTAAATATTCGTTATTTTATATTATAAATTATATATAATATTTAAATATACGAAATTTGACATACACAAAGCTCAAAAACTTTATTAAACTGAGTTTGTATAAAAAGGGTTATTGTAATATTAAGGAATTTATGGATGATAATAACCCCTGGGAAGGGTGATCGCTACCAAGCTATTTCTAATTTGTCTTGTGTTCTTAATTGTAAACATGATTGTAAGCTATGATTTGAAAAAAAAATAGTCCCGCAGGGTTTCCTGCTGGTTCTTCCCAGGACAGAGGTTTTTTTTTTTTGCGAACCAGTGGTAAATGAAATGTGATTTTCGATAAGTATTGTTTATAATGTATATTGAATAAAAAGTTTCTGTTTAGCCTTTTATACTTTTTTGGCAAGTTTTAAGATTCACAATATATCGAGTCACTTAAGTAATGGGTTTAAGAATCTAGCTCATCATTACAAGAATATAATAAGTAACTCATTTAGAATTGGAACTTTCTTACAAAGTTAACTAAAACAATAGAACCCATATTATGTAGTTAAAGACAAAACTAAAACATTTAGTTACAACTTCGATAAAGTCTTTCTGTCTTGGCATAGTCAGATAATTAAAGACTACAGTCTTGTTCACCGCAACAAAATATACGTAAAAATACCTACGTAAAGATTTCGCAAAACACACCAAAGGCGACTTTATTGCGAGTCCCCAAAGATTAAATTTGCGAGGTATTTAAGGCGTCTGTGGACACTGTCTTCTATTATTAAAATAACTATCTTATCCGTACAATAACGTTCATTTTAATCCTTATTAAACATCTGTGGCCGTAGAAGGAAAAGGGGAGATCTCCCGCCGGGCAAGGTGTTATGCCCGGGGAACGGCCGACACTCCATGTGATAGTTCGGAGATGTTCTATATATACTGTTTCTTTATATATAGAACATCTCCGAACTATCACATGGAGTGTTCCGAATATATAGTTAGAACAGTTAGGATCCGATTTAGTCAAATTGGAGTTCCCGACCGCTCTACTTCCTAAATTGTTTACAATTTAGGACAGTGTAATCGCAACGTTACGATTTAAGCGCTTATATTACATTATACAATTTTTAGGAAATCTAATTAGTATTTGTAATCTAATAGTAATTTGTAATCGGCGATAGATGTAGATGTCTATGGGCCGCAGCAACCACTTACCATCAGGTGGACTGTGTGCTCGTTTGTCACCCTATCTTATAAAAAATCTGCTTAGAATCTAAAAATATATAATTATATTCATATTGGACAGTTTTTTTCACCAATGACAAGTACTCTTTTCTCTTTTTTTAATATCCATTGTTCCCACCACGGCTAAGGCAAGTCCTATTTTCTGTTGTTTTGATAAATACGGCGCCTTCGATCAAACGTGCAACCCCGTCGATACTTCTTTACGAATGCGCTTCGTCACGATTTAGACATCAATTTAGTGTATTGTGATCACTAGCTTCCAATTTAGGTTCCTAATTAGATTTTCTAAAAATTGTATAATGTAATAAGCGTATAAGTCTTACGACACCCACGAGATGAAATGATAATACATTCATTGAAAATAAATAATAAATGACTTTCAAATAAATTTTACGGTATGATACGTGCGCCATCTATTATAAATTAATTTTACTATGCTCAAAACCATAGTGCTGTGCAAGCAATAAGTTAAGAAGTTTTACGGCAAACTGGTGAACAGTATGGCAGCGCATAAAATACGAACAAATATACATTAATTTTTATATAGTAGAAGATTAAAGTTACAGCTTATATACAATCCATTGTCAGGACCAGGCCTGCTCTCTTTTCTGGAAGGGTTTCCGGGCAAAAAAGTGGCGACCGCACTGCCCCAATGTGTGTTGGCAGATTTTACTTTTATATATTTTTTTAATTCATCAGGCGCGCAGTTTTTTTATTGTATTTTCTTCATTAATCTTGGTAAGATTAGCCACCACGCTGGTTCTCACAAAAGTCAAAAAAGTTGTGTGCAAACAACCAGAATGACAGTATAATATTAATCAAAGAGTATATAACTTACCTTGTTTAATATTAACTGAAAAAAAAGAAAACAACTATACTCTGTCAAATTTAGCTTAATAATTTTGACAGCACGAGTATGAAGTTTCATATTTTAACTTCCCGCTATTAGATCGGGAGCTGGTGACAGGTGACCAACGGTGGAAAATTTCCGGAAAACTCTGTAAAAATTGAACTCCGATTTTCCGTGATTCCAAACTGCATGCCATGGTCATACGAGGGGTGCATGCCAATTTTTCCAGAGTGTTTTTATTACAAAAACTTCCATTCTTTACATCGGCATGCAATTTGAAAACACGGAATTGCCCTTTAATTTTTTTCAGGTTTTCAGAACCCTTTGATCATCTTGGGCCGCTGCGGGGTGCATGCCATCAATTATTAGAGCTTCAATTTGCTTGAACTTCCGTATATTACAATGGCATGCAGTATACTATCACGGAAAAACACGAAAATTCACTACACAAAGAAAAGCGCTTTTCCTTATGAAGAGGACGCGCGGGGGGGGCTAAAGCCCCGACAATCTTTGATATTTTAGGGTTAGTTATCAAGCCTTAAAAAGGCACGCACGACAAAATCGTGGAACGTCATCTGTCACCAGCTCCCGGTCTATATCTCCAGGTTGTGTATATCACAAAGGATGAATGTTTTATAGCAGAAATGGTTAAAAAATTGGACCTCTTCTATAAAAACTACTTTGAAGAAGCAGTTTTAAATAAATATTTATATAAGTACTATGCAGAAATAATAAAACCTTGATTATCTTTCACAAGTGTATTTATTTAAATTTAAAAACAATTCTTTCTCTAAACTTACAAAGCATTACACACAAAAAAATATTTTGGAACTTAGTGGCACATAATAACTATTAATTTCAGATTTAAGAATGGTGTATGTTTTTGTCAATCCAATGAGTCTTTCAATATGCACTCTTTTCTTGGACAACTCCCTATCTTTTTTTCAAATCATGTGTGGAAAGTTGTGACACCCCCCTTTAAAAATGTGGGTATTTTAATTGCAACATTTTTTGAGGCAAAAATGTCTTGAACATTAAACCCTTTCATCAGCCATAATTATATCTCCTGCCTGACAAAGGTTAATTAACGACGATCTTTCGGTTATTTGCCGATCACTTGATGCCCCACCATAACCATCTGAACAATACGAAATTAGGCCACCTGGAGTAGCACCAATCAGAAATTTGATTGTATTTTTGTTTTTATAGTGTCTAAATGTGGCCTGTTGTGATAGAGGGTTGTTGGCTTACATATTGGCACTTCTGTCGAATCTATGATAATTCTTGTTTTTTAAAAAATTCTCAAAGCTTTCTGGGGTATAGTATTGGACCAACTCTTGGGTAGGCCATAATTCAATTAATGACCAAGATCATACATAAAATTCACCCAGGTTACAAATATATTAGATACTACAGTTCGACTAACACCAAATATTTTTGATAGTTCAAAATTACAATAGTTACGTCTCAATTTCATTAATGTTATTAGAAACTGGTCTTCCACACTTAGAGATATCACATTTCCTGATTTATAACACATAGGGCATAAAGTGTCAAAAACAAATTTAAATTTTTTGTATGTTTCAAGCCCAGTATAAAATTTTATTGATAATAAGTAGTTCTTCTGTAGCAAATAATCTCAACAGAACAGAGGTTTGTGTCGATTTATTGTCAATATTGTGAATTTTAGTATCACTATAACTTGCACACTGCTGTTTATTTAGGTTTGAAATTTCACTATTCAGAGTTCCGTCATTAAAACCTAAGAAGTTTGGAGCGAATAGTTGTTTTTTTAGGTTTCTATTTCGCAGTCTCTGCTCCCTAGCAGCTGCGGAAGGTGGTTGAACCTTCGACCAAGGGAAAACTGATTGTGACGCATTCTTCATTAAAATTCGGCGCTGTAAATTGAAACCTGCAATTTAAACAATCAAGTTACATGACATCTGTTAAAGATTTTAGCAAAGACAAAATATAAAAATATACCTACTCTGTCTGTAGACGATTTCACAGTTTTATAACCATTTTCAATAATTAGATTTAAATAAGAAGATTGCGGTTTCGCCAATTCTGGGCGATTTATTGCTTTGGCCCACAACCTTCTTCTATTTTTATCTTTTGGAATCAAATGATATCCATTTTCTTTCATCCCGGCACGTCTCAATTAGCCATTTTTAGTAGATTTAATAAAAACGTCAAAAAGATCTAAAATATAACGATGCACAGATAGGCACAGCGGATCATAGCAATCGCGACACCTAGCGGGAAAAAATGGCAAAAATCTTCCCCATTGGAAATTTTCAAAAATCGGGAAGTTATTGTTTTTACCCCGTCTTTTGAAAATTGAGTTTTCATCAAATCTTGACGTTTTCGATCGAATAGATTTACAATCCATTATTCATGAAATTATCGGTAGAAACTCACGAAAATAATCAATTATCAACAAGCTCAAAGGAATAAGGTTTTGTCAGCTATCACAGCTGTATTAAATTAGGGGTAACTGTTGCAGGCGTGGCTATGGCGACTGGTCCCCGTGGGGCTGAACGGCACGGCCAGCAGCACGGCACGCGCGCCCGACTGCATTACGCGCTACGAGGCGACCGCGTTGTGCGTGTCGAGGACAGGGCTCGCCATATCCAACCCGGCTGTTCTGCAAGTCAGTATTTTGTTAATTGGTATAATTCGTTTAATAAAAATTCGTTGGTCCAATGGTCGTAAGTTGAATATGTGGTCCCGGATTCGATTCCTGGGTCGACCCAAAAGTCAGTTTCTTAGTTTTTCTGTCAAGAAAGATTTTTTGTAATAAAACAATAATACAACAAAATGCAATCACAATGTACAATCAATAGTACAATAAAAATGTGTATGTATTAAATTTACTTTCAATATAATTTTTGCCCACCGAAATTGAAAAGGACAGACAGGCAGCGACTGCGAAAGAAATTGTTGTCGATCCTCATCAACCCGTAAAAGTCAACTGGACGTGAACATCTCTTAAAGTAGACATGTTATAAACTTCTAATGGCGGCCTCTCACTGCGTGTATTATTACGCGCCGCGCCGCGCCCGCACGCGCCACGCGCAGTGTGAAGGACTTGCGCGGCGCGGCGCGGCGCGGCCAGGCGGACAGGCGTGGCGCGGCTTGTGCTATCCGCTTAAAATCGGTAACTTCAAAGGCGCGGCGTGTCCTAATGTGCTTACTAGATTGAACCAGTTCATTTGTCTTTTCTATATAGATATGGAGTGGTCTAATGAGACGATTGCTGAATTTTTAATTTTAACGATGTCATCCACCAACGCCTTTTCTTCTTCTTTTTGTTAATTTTATTAAGTAAATGATATCCACAAAATAAGACAAAAGCGGCTAAAACAACAGCGATGTCTGATAACACACACAAAGAGAAGCCGCCATAAGAAGTTTACCTTATTAAACTTAGATACCCACACGTAGATATGGATCGTGCCTTGTCTTTTAGCGTATCAATCAATAACTAATTAGTGCAAAACTTATTGTTCAATTACAACGTTTTTTTTTAAATTCCAGGTGTTTCGCGAATTCTTCATTCACGCAGACGGTCCCAAAAAGCTGAGGCGAGGCGACAACACCATTATTAGATATCGTATTTTCAACTACTTGTACGAGCCTTTGAGCGTTAGTAAACACATTTATTTTATTTTATTTATGGATATACTTGTGTAATGTTTGGATTGGATGAAACATTAATTAAACCTGTAAGCATAAATATAATAGAATATTTACATACTTCTAAAGGAGCATTTAATCAAAGGATGACCGTGGGAAACCAAAAAGATAAACTAGGATCGTAATGGGCTGTACATAGAAAGATTTTATTAATGTTACTTACAAACTTAAAGAAAATATAAAATATTTTTCTAAAATATGTATTTAAAAGAGTGTTTACGTTCATATACTAGCTTGAAAAGGGCTATGAAGAAACAAGTAGCGACCTCTGTCAGCCGACTGAGAAGGCGCCGCACTCAATAGACGCTAAACCATTGATGTGATCTAAAATGAAGAGTACTACTTACAAATTTTTTGACTTCCCGCTATGAAAATCAATGATTTTCACAAAATCGGATAGTTATTGGTTTCACCCGTTTTGAGGTTCTAGGAAGCTATTGTGACTATTCCTACGAGGACGTCACGTTACGTACGACGTCCGTGTGCGAGTGTGCGCAAGCGTGCGTGTGTGCGTGTATGTAAACCTCCCGATTTAAACTCAACAACTTCGTGGTGTTCGAAAAGGTTTCACCAAAATTAAATTTTTAATACTGTTTCAACCGATTTAGCCAGTAGATTTAGAAAAATCTCAAAAATAAAATTTCCAAAAAAAAATTTCTTGGAATATCTTTTAAACAGATGTAACGATCAATTCCAAAATCTAATCAGCTCTTAAACATGAAAAACGACAACGATTCCTGTGAATCCCCTTAAAATCGTTTAATGCGTTAAAGAGAAATCGATGACGAAATTTCGAAAACAAAGTTTTTTTTACATTACTTTTGAATTTATAGTCTAATAGGTTTTTTCTATAATAGATTATATTATTGTTCTTAAAATACCTCGTCGATTGCCACCAACTACATAAAAATCGGTTGATCCATTCAATAGTAATCGTCGCAAAATTTCAAAAAAAGTGTTTTTTTTTTAAATAATTTAGTAATTTCTGCTCGTATCATTTTTGATGATTTAATGGGTTAACTATTAGTTTGTAAAAATATCTGTCGAGCGTTTTGAGATCGAACATAGCGGGAAACCCCAGGGATGGCCTGCAGGGTCAACCGTTTTTCAGATTTTTTAATACATACGACAGTGAATATTTATTTTTCTGAAGAAATAACGATCTATTTTCAGTTATTATCTAAAAATCCCCATACTCGCAAAGATAGGTCAACGTTAAGGTAGGTTAATGACTGTATGAGTTAAGATCCCTTTGCCTTCCCTGCACGGTAAAATATTATAAAAAAATTTATCACTTACCTACGCCAGTACATTATATTCTAAGTTTATGTACTTAGCTACTTAGCGTTGATAAGCAGACAGATTATTTTATTTATTTTGTTGCTACCATACTTCTGGTCAAATTTCGAACACAGATTATACTAGTGGGTACAGGGTATAGTGTTACCAACTTTACTGTTCAGTTGACAGAGTCGCTAGTGGAGAGCTTACTATTGCCACTTAAGGCCGAATACGACGCGATTGACCTTGCTCGTTTCGCAGCAAACCACGCGCCGTCTATCGAACATCACGTGTGTTACCCGTACGCTTTGTTTATATAGACATGTATAATATAATCAAAGCCGTACGGGCTTTGATTATATTATATTTGACTGAGCTAGCTCAGTATGCAGAGTAATGAACAATTACTTCTTAAATAAATCTTTTTTATTTATAATATTAGTTCCTATAGATTATAAATTCTGTACTTTATTCGTTATAATATATTGTTCGAAAAGTTATTGAATTGATATCGATTTTCTTTTTTTTTAATTGGTGCATCGTACGTAAAGAACCTCATATAACTGAAAATGATTGTTCTTGTGAGTCTTACAAGATGCCGTAATGCAAATTGCATAAATAATAAAGAAAAAAAAACACTAAAAAGTCGGTGATTGCCCCATAGTGGGGATAGGTACTGTGTATGTAAATTCTCACAAGACTACTCCGACTGGTCAATCACTTCACATCCGAATTATTATTTCGTATTAATTAATTATTATTTAGTATTTCGGTTTTTCTTAATTATGTACTTACCCCATGCTTTCGGACAATACATTGACTATGACATTATTTGCGGTCTCTGCGCTTGCACTAGTCTGTACATTCTTTTCCGACTCGGTCTTGATATTTACATTTTTAGTGTTTCTCACATGAAACTAGAAAAGTATTAATGATCAGTTTGGCTAATGTAAATGAGTAAAAATGCAGCCTATTTGGCAGCCTCAAACAAAAAATTACCTTACAAAAAATATAAGTAACCTCAAAATACAACATTCGAGCAGCGTTCATGCGATAAACTCTCTTTGTTTTACCACTTAGGTAACATTTATTTCTTTTCCTACCCATATTCACAGTTATAGTCACTTAAACGCGTATAAAACACTAAATTAACGATTTTCGCTACAGCACAACGACGGTAACGCCTTTACGGCAAACTTTTATCTAGCAATATACGATATTATTATTAGGTTTTTTTTTTTATTAAATTTTGTATCAAAAATAAAGACGGCAGGCACCTTCGGAATCACAATAGAAACATTTTTACGTAAAAGAATTTTTCCTAAATTAAAATTCGCAGAGTTTTGGAAGAACAATCATTTTTAAATATCATTTCTTAACATTTTTTATTTGTTGGTATATTCATTTATTTAAAAAAAATGTTTTAACGCTTAGAATTACTTCAGGTCAAAGTTGTAGTGAAGAGAAATACATTAAATTTCGCTAGTTCTCTTCGTATTCGGCCTTAAGAAATTTACCGAGGAAATAGGTGACTACATATTCACAGCACAGCAAATAATAATAGCTTATAGCGAATGTCACGGCCTTAGTTCCAATTTTGTTAACCTAAACAGATAAGTTAATGGCACTGTATGTCTGGATAAAAGTGGAGAAAATTAATTTATCATAATATTGTAAAAGGGAAAAAGCAAAAAGAAAAAGAGACAAATACATTTATATAATTCTGCCTGCGAGTGAATGAGGTAAAATACACTATAAATTGTTTATCTGAAGGTTTCACTTCTACCGCGTGTGGGTGTACAGTACACATGTTCTTTTTTATTATAATTTTAATCAAACATATAAAATTACATCGCATCGAAAAGAACATTTAAATTATATAAAGTACCTATATTTTATATCGAGACAAAGATAATGCGGTTCTGACGCGAAGCAATCGCAACATATTACGACACTCAAATATATATCTCACCATACTAAATGTATGAAACTGATACCGTTCAGATGCGTCACAACACAACACGTCAGACAAATGTCAATCTGGCTTTAGGCTGTGCTCTGCCCAGATAAATACATAAAAGCGTTGTTGCAGGTGGAAATGGAAGTGATATCTGAGGTGCTAGTCGAAGGGCCTCGCGTAGAGCGCGCGTGCGTGGGTGCTCGCAGCGCGGTGGCGCGGCGCGCGGCGCTCAGTGTGCGTGCGAGCGGCACGGCGCGTGTGCACTTGCGGGCGCGATCGCTCAACGACACGAACTGCGGTAACGCACCCCAAACCAAACAAGTCGCGTACGTTGCCATATTTACTATTCAAATAAAAAGTTAAGTTGTCCTGCGGTACCGCCAGTGCAGGTGGGAGGTGCTCTTCAAACTAGGCAATACGCATCTTTTTATTTCATTACGCGGAAATAAGCAAATTAATTTCTAACAACTTTAATATAATGGATTTCCACAAAGTAATGCCTGATTCTATTAATTATCTTAAAATAAAAATTATTTTCAAAATTCTATTTCACAACTACATAATATCTATAACTATGCTAAATTAAGAGCCGTGGTAGCTCAGATGGTTAGCGCTTGCTGTAAATTTTACAGTACGCGAGCAAACCGGGTTCGATCCCCGCCGGCACCAATGAAATTGTTAATTTCAATTTTAGGTGCTGATTTACCACGTGCTCGGCGATGAAGGAAAACATCGTGAGAAAACCTGCATGTCTGAGAAATAAGAAAAAAAATGGAAGACATGTGAAGTTCGCCAACACGCATTGGGGCAGCTTAGCGGACACTTCCTTGCCCTAAAACCCTCTCAGAAATGAGGGGAGGCCTGTGCCCAGCAGTGGGACGTATATAGGCTGTCACTTTTATGCTAAATTACACAGCTATATACCAGTGTTCTATCTGAGTTAAACCGTGGACGAACGGACGGACATGGTAAAACTATAAGGGTTTCTTGTTGTTTACTTTTTTTGTTAACTAGGGATCTGTAAAAATATAGACTAGGTTATCTTGTATTATAAATAAAAACCCGCCCCTAACTTCGCCTAGATTTATAAATGTGGCATTAGTTAAAAGTAAGATAATCATTAAATATCAATTTTATCAATTTAATTTTTTTATAGCATTGGGTAACAACGAGCACACAATCCACCTGATGGTAAGTGGATGCTGTGGCCCATAAATATCCACATTTATCCTTAATTAAGAATCAAAATGCAAATGCGTTGTCACCCCTGAGGACTAGGATGGAATGCCTAGATTCTAGTAAAAAGGGTCTCCGGTTAGAGACGATGACGACGTCAGCATTACGCTGCTATTTTACGCTGGTATTCCCCAAGTTTTTTTTAATTTCGACTCGCCAATTTAAGTTTCATTACAAACGGTTCGGCCATTTCGAAAATCAGCTCGGACGAACTATATACGGCTGAAAATGATTTTAAATACATACGGTTGCGTGAGTGCGTGTTCTTACAAAAAATTGAGTACGTTGGCCTTGTTTCGGCGTTACTAAAATGAACATAGCACGACGTCTATCTTTTTTTATGTCCTAGATTTTAGAGATTATATGTACTTTTTCTGTTTATTAAATATACAGTCAGTATTTTTTCTATAGCATAAGAGTGGCAAAATAAGCACTGTTCTTTAAAACATTTTTGTACGTATATGATTGTAAACTCACTTAGCCATCCTTACATAAATAAATCCGTACTATTGCTCTTAATCTCGGCCATAAATTAAAAATATAAACATTATAGGTAGAAATGGTTTACGATAGAACTCAAATGGCCTTGATTATTAGAGTTACTGTTGCTTATATAATTTGACGTTTTAATATACGTGTCATTCATACGGTTATTCTCATACATAAATATTTAAAACACAAAATCTAATCATTATTTATATCAAACTTGAGACAGCAAACGTCTTAGTTTACAAAAATATTCTTCTTTTTCTTCTATTGTTTCTATTGTACTAACCAAACACTTTACAATTATATGTACTTACATCTTAAGGTCGCTAGTTAAAATCCGGCTCGAAGGACCAAAATGTTTTAGTTTTAACCATACAGCTTGTAAATGATGCTATGCTTAGGCTAGTAGCATCTCTTCCGCGAATTGGCGATCATAGTACTACATTGCACTTTTGACTCTGGTCTCCGACTAATTATGACCTCTAATTAACATAATGGAATATAATTATAACACATTATAGTCTTGAAACTCCCGCGCATACCATCCAGGTTTTTATTGTTTTTATTCCCACAAATGATGAGCTATTATTTTAAAATTACTTGTATCGTACTTGTAGATATATCGTGATGTAGAGTGAAGGAGCATATAACAAAACCCTTCAAATACCCACCTGAAATGGTAGGGAAACCTGCAAAATAATGAACTTGGTAATATTGATTGTTTCAGCGATGAAGTTATAATTGAAATAGAAGTCGAACCTGAAGGCGTTCCAACAGAAGAGCACAGATCCACAATGCTGTGCGCTAGAGGTAAATTCGAAGTAGACTTTAAAGTACGGAAATAAACCATAGTAACGTGACATGCAATAGATTGTTGTGTGGCTTATTACCTTACTTTTTTTTAAATATTAGTAATCCTATTAATTAACATTACTAATATTCCTTTTCAACCACTCCTGGTAAGCTGAAAATGCTTGTGTTAGCAATGGTTGACGACAGTAGTCGAATGGTGGATTCGAACCCGCAACCTTTTGAGTTCGCGGTCCGCGCCCTGCCACTAGGCTACTTTCGTCTACTTTGTGGCAATCCATCATTGGTTTAAAATTAAAGATACGCGTTGATTATAAAAACTAGCGCAATCTATAAGAACTAATTTGTACTACGATGTGGTCGGTAGGGGCTGCCTAAATGTTATATCATTTCGTCTTTGTCGAATGATAAGATTATTCGAAAACCGTACAATCTGAAGGCTTTATATGTTTTCTAGGATATGCAGACAACATATGGCCAGCAATAATATATATGTTGGAGTCCCTTGCTGATTGTGTTCTTCAGCAGGCTCCTCGTTATATCCAAAATCATTTTCGATGCTTTCCATTTTTAACACGAATATTAAAAGTAATACGTTAACAATATGAGTCCATATATAGGCATAGATGGCTTAATATTACCAAGCTCTGGGATAACAATTTTACTAAGCGTTATTCAGGCATTTTGTTGAAAGCCTGTAGTTAACAATCGGGATAGGCATCCAATTAACTGTCTGTGAACCATCTGATTACGATATAATCTATTTTGTAGGTACGTCGGAACCGGTCTCATCAAACGTGTCTTGGACTTGGAGTCCTCAGCAAATAGTGGCCGGCACTGAAATGCTCACCGTGTGGGCTGTCGGCGACACCACCGGACCTTTGCTTGCCGTAAGAACACGTATATATATATATATATATATATATATATATATATATATATATATATATATATATATATATATATATATATATATATATATATATATATAACTTTGTTACCACAAAGTTCTTATATTAGTAGCATGTCACTCATATATGTACCAAGATTTGTACACATATATGTGCCTAAGCTTCGCAAATGAAATAAAAAACTCCCACTCAAATTTACATTTACATTATAGGAAACTTACCGTGTAAATCCAAAACCCCATATCATCCCATGGGTGTCGTAAGAAGCGACTTCCAGAGGGAAATAAAAACGGAGATGTAGTACAACAACAGGCCACAGCATGTCCATAATAATTAAATTTTATGAAATCCCTGTCAAGCGTGGCAACTAGGGCATTAATTTTTTTTTTCATTTATTATGACATTACTACGGCTACAAGGCCTTCGGCCCAAAATTATAGATCAAATGCTACGTAGTAGAGTCACGTTGCAGCTATATTACAGTTGTAACACGAATGGATCGGCTCGACTAGGGTAGGATCACGCTCTCACAGAATACCAATGTACAATAGCAGCATAATGCTGCTGTGTTTCGTATCCGAGGATAGAGAAACGGAGACACTTAACTGGAAACGAGGTATTCCATCTCTCCGACACGACTGGAGACAGATAAGGCGCAGGATCAACAGCTTTACGTGTTTTTCGAGGCACAAGGATTAATCACAGCCAAGTTTCTGATTTCGGGCTGCTATTGAGAATTTCTTGGCAGAAAAACCCAATAACTGATTTTGGCCTAACCCAAGATTTGAACCCGAGAGCTGACAACCAGCAACCGCGTTTGCAACAAATAGACCAAAGAGACAGTCAACTGATTTCTCTATACTTGCGGATTTAATATATCTTGTTATGAACGCATCCATTCATAACCGCAAGTATTATCATCTATGACACGGTGACTATATAGCTTCACCTGTGTCACGATCCATCTTTTTTTCCCGTACTTTTTTGCACGGACGACGATTCTAACAGTCGAAGTAGTAAAGAAGAAACTTTCTATAATTTAGCAGCGCTTCTAATTTATTCTTTTGACCATCCAAGGAGGAACATAATAATAGGTCGGGCAAAAAGTTTCTTCGTATTTTGTTTGTATAAAATTGAAAAAAAATCTCTTCGGTTTTATAAGTACATATAAGAAAAATAAAAAGAGATAGTAAAAAACACTTTCCCGCCATTTTTAAATTGTTTTTCTGTCCGCCAAAATGAGTGAAAATCTAACAAAGAAATGCGATATATTCTAAAGTATTATTACAAAAAAAGGAAAATGCAACTCAACTGACAAAACATTGTGGCGTTTATGGGTCTAATGCAGTGTCAGTAAAAGTAGCACAAAGTTGGTTCAAGCATTTTCAGTCCGGGAATTTTGATGTCAAAAATGGATAAAGTCGATACTATTTTTGAAAAGGTTGAGCAAAATGAACATATTAGTAAGTACGATATAGCCGAGGAATTGCGAATTGACCACAAAACAGTTTTGACCCATTTGAAAACGTCTGACAAGCTCGATATTTGGGTACCACACGAGCTCACTGCAAGAAACCTAATGAATCGTGTAGTCATTTGCGATTCTCTATTGAAACGTAATTAAAACCGAATCATTTTTGAAAAGATTGATCACAGGCAATGAAAAATGAATCACCTAGGACAAGAACGTGCGAAAAGATCATGGTCGAAGAAGCTCCACAGTCTGTAGAGAAACCCGGACCTACACGCAGTAAGGTGATGCTGTGTGTATGGTGGAATTGGAAGGGCATCGCTTATTATTAACATTTACCTTCGTTTCGGATCTTTACTGGCAACTACTAATGACACTCAAACAAGAAATTAAGAAAAAACGGCCGGAATTGATCAACTGTAAAGGAGCGGTCTTTCATCATGATAACGCTAGACCACACACATGTTTGACCACTAAGCAAAAATTGAGAGAGCTTGGTTGGGAAATGTTAATGCATCCACAATGTAGTCCTGAACTTGTACCCTCCTTTGGTCCTTTTCACCTCTTTTGGTATCTTCAGAATTCTTTGGGTAGTGTTAGGTACAAAAGAGGAATGTCAAACGCACTAGTCGCATTTCTTTGATCAGAAATCCCAACATTTCTACAGCTACAGAATTATGTCTTTACCTACAACATGGCAACAAGTTATCGAACAAAATGACACATCATAATATATTATAATTATATAGCCCGTTCACCGTAAGATGTCCCCTGCCTTGGGAAATGGCAGCATTGTCTATGGTGCTGCCAACAATATATGTAGCATTTACCCCACTTGGTGGTTGCTGGCAAAATTATCTAAACTTGAAAACCCCTGATTAATATGTTTTACTTGCTTATTTAAATAATATACAGTTAGTTATAAGACTAATAAGGTTGTTAATGATAACACAATTAAATTTTTAAATTATTTATTGATTTATTTTTTCCGACAATAATTATGGTCGAAAGGAACAATTTCAGACATACTCGTATCACTGTCACTTTCATAAACGTCGTCATCATCATCTGTCGTATCCGAATCTGTGCTGCTGTCATTTCCTAATTCAATTATGAATTTATCAGTAATATCATCCATACAGCCATCAAGTACATAAAACTTGTCTTCTAAATTTTTTACGTGTTCACACTGTTTTTGCCAATCCTGAGGGGTTATAGATGAAAAAGCTTCTTCAGTTAACTTCACGATATTCCCAGCGTCTTGGCCGACATTATTGCTGACTACTCGTCTCTTTAAAAGACTCCACAAAAACTCAATCGCATTTAAATCGCAGTGGTAAGGGCGCAACCTAACCACTTTATGGCCATGAGAAAGCAATAATTGGTCAGCCTCATAAATCGGCGCTTCTTTGTGCTCTTTTATAATTTCATAAAGTTCTGCTTTCAGCATTGTTGGTATATAAGACAATCCCTTATTTGTTATCCAATTTTGCATTTGAAGTTTTGAGGAACTCATAGTAGGTGCTTTATTTACTTGTACAGTATGATAGGGAGCGTTATCCATCACGACTAAGGAGTTCGGAGGCAAATTGGGTATAAGTTTCTCTGAAAGCCATTTTATAAAATTGGTTCTGTTCATGTCTTCATGGTAGTCCCCTGATTTACTCTGTGATTTAAAAATCAATTGAGCATTAGGAATAAACCCTATTTCTCCACCTGCATTAATAATTATCCACCGCGTTCCAACAGAATCACTTATTAGTACTCCGTCCTCGTCATCTTTTTGCCAACATTTTTTCTGCATACGATGCGTGAATGTATGTTTCATCTAAGAACACTATTGGCCGACCATCTGCTCGATTTTGCCTCATAGTAACGATATACTTGCGTCTCCATGCAACTGTGTCGTGCCTTTCCATTAAAATTTTCCGTTTCGAACCACACTATTTATACTGAAATCCAATTTGTTTTAAAATTTTCCACAAAGTCGTTCGACCTCCGCCAAAGTTTATGTCATTCTTTAATTCTACAAGTAATTTATTTAAAGTAGGAACAACTTTTCTTACAGTATACATTTCATGGATTTTGTTTCTTATTGCGTATAAATTGAAATCATCAAGATCCACCGTTTTACGTCTTTGACGGTGTTTTCCAGGAGACTTGAGTTTTTGAGATGTAGAGGCAGCAGCTTCACCTTCTTTAGATATTCTACTCACGGTTTTCTCCGACGTGCCTGAAATCGACACCATTTGTATCATTTTATAAAATTAAATATTTATAAAATACAAAATACAGACATTATCATAAAAAAATAAATTAAATTAACTGAGATACGTACTTTTTTATTTTAATTCGTAATGTTAGTAATTTCTTATTATTACCCATACTAAAGGCATTTTGCATGAAGCTGGCATCCCTATTTTACTAACCTGTTATGGCGGCGACGCGAGTTCGCATTTGATTGAGTGGAAAACGGGGTGGTTGCCTTTTTTTCAAAAAAGGCCCGACCTTCAACACAACCTCTCTTGCACTGCTTCTAAATGGTTTCGGCATAATTAATTCGGAATATTTTAAATAATAACACAAAAACGAGCGTTATAATCATAAACTGACAACAGATTGACAAGCAATAGTGCCAACATCACAGCAGAGGACATCTTACGGTGAACGGGCTATAGTCAACCAAATCTAAGAAATACATTTTGACAGCTGTCAGATTTATTGCACCAAGCATGCCAACCATAAAATGGGAGCGTACAATATTCGATTCTTATAAAAATCGATATCGATTATTTAGAGTTAGTAATCGTTTACAGTTTGGTTTGAATAATACCAGAATAAATTTAAACCGGATAATTTAAAACACGAGATTTATCAGTTTCTACGTATTTGTTGTATTGTGGTACTGCTTATTTCTAGAGGCACAGTTATAAAAATTTAAGATTATAACTAAATTAAAAATAAATTTATTCAATCACTATCAGTACAACTAGTTGAGCTGTCGTTGTTTGATTTTCAATAATGCAGTCAAAATTATTGTCTCTTTCAAAGTCGTCGATAATAATATTTTTGTTTTTTCTACCACTTTTGCCCAATTATCCTTTGTGAAATGGGCACATGCTTCAACGAATATAGAAGAAACAGTCCAAAAAGTTAAAGCCGAGTCACAAAATAAGAAGACTAACACAAAATTACAAAATTACGCACAGTAAGCGCCCGAAATGGCAGTAGATTGAAATTACGTAGTTGTCTACAAAAATTTAAAAAAATAAACTAGTTTTATTAATGATTCATGTAATTTAAGGAATTTTAAAAATAAAAATTAAATTAAACAAATAATACGTTTAAAAATGATTCGATTATTTGAATATTTTTACCGATTATTGTAATATTTTTGCCGATTATTCGCATAACAATTAATTTTAATCATCCAAACACTACGGTAATCTACATAGCGACATATCATTGAAACGATGTCAAGTACAAAAGGTTGATACTGGTTATTTTTTAATATTTTCCTTTGTTTGTAAGATTCAAATTTAAATTAGTGATAAAAAATATAGTAATGAAATATAGATAACTTTATAATTCTTCGGATTTACGTAAATGGTTATTTCAAATCGTGTGAGTACACTTGTGCAAAATTATTGCTCAATGATTAATGTAAAACGTCAAAAGATATTTCTTAGATTTGGTTGACTTATAAATGTAATTAAACTTGGAAAAAAAAATATGTCTTGAATTTTGTATATAAAGTACGAAGAAACTTTAACGCTACCTATTATTTAGATGTATGCGTGTTGAGTGAGTGTATAAGCGCGGTGGTGGTGGTGTGATGTGGTGCAGGAGGCGGACGCGCTGGTGGCGCTGCCGCGCGGCTGCGGCGAGCAGAGCATGGCGCGCCTCGCCACCAACCTGCTGGCGCTGCGCCTGCTACACCCGCACGCGCCTGCCGCAGCGGTGGCCAGGGACCACGTCGCCAGGGGTAACTACAGGCTTCGTCATCAGCAGGTGTACAGGAGGCGGCCGCGGCGCGCAAGGCATGGCGCGCCTCGCCACCAACCTGCTGGCGCTGCGCCTGCTGCACCCGCACGCGCCCGCCGCAGCGGCGGCCAGGGACCACGTCGCCAGGGGTAACTACAGGCTTCGTCATCAGCAGGTGTGCAGGAGGCGGCCGCGGCGAGCAGAGCATGGCGCGCCTCGCCACCAACCTGCTGGCGCTGCGCCTGCTGCACCCGCACGCGCCCGACGCAGCGGCGGCCAGGGACCACGTCACCAGGGGTAACTACTGGCTTCGTCATCAGCAGGTGTGCAGGAGGCGGCTGCGAGCAGAGCATGGCGCGCCTGAACATATAGGCCTCTATCATAGTTCGCCTCATGGGAGGATTTCGCCATAATTAGATTTTAAAATCATAGTCTAGCCAAAGTTAATTTTTTCTTGTTTTGGGACTACTCTACTAATATGTCAAATTCGTGACGTCTATATAATACGTAAATTACGAGTATTTACGTATTATATAGATTTATACGAGTATTTACGTTGTAAGCCATGGTGTAGCTTTATTTTAGTTATAGCACGAAAGGGGGCGGCTCGAACTAGGTAGGACTCTCAAAGAATACCAGTGTAAAATAGCGGCTTAATGTTAGCGTTTCGTATAATGAGTGTAGAGATCAGAAAAACCCTTTTTACTGCATACAAGCGCTTGCATTTTGATTCTTAATCTAGGATAAATGTGGATATTTACAACGGATCCACTTACTATCAGGTAAACTGTGTGTATGTTTGTCACCCTCATTATATAAAAATTAAATTAAAAATTCTATATAATGGCTAAATATGCTGAGGCGAATGCCTATTTGTACTACAATATTTTATGTTGAAATATACTTGTAATGGCGTAATTTATACCCTGCTATTCAGACTTTTGGAATCTGTATGACAGGGTGAGAAATTGTGTAATAAGAGAAAAGTGTGGTTTGCAAGATATTGTTGTGCCCAGGATTAAGAAAGAAATACTTCGAAAGTTTAGTCATGTAGAAAGAATGAACGAGGAAAGAATGACATACCAAATCTATGTTACAGAAGTAAACGGCAGAGTCGGCAAGGGATGCTAATACGAAATTATATCTATCAAATTGGCGATATATTAAAGATGGGTCAAATTAAAGGTACCCTTAACTGAGCATGTATGCGTAGGTATATGGATGTAAAAAAGACGAGAGAGGTGTGTAAGGATCGTGCCAAGTGGAAATCCGTAGTCTCTGTCTACTCCCCTAGGTGAGAGGCGTGAGTGTTTATGTTTATATGTGTTACTTTTACCTTTTTTTTAATTAAAGCGCATTCATGCTAAAATGAATTTCGGAATTTCTGCAGACATAAAAAAGTTGCCGAGAACAATATGAGGCTTTGAGTAGTTTGGTAGCTATCATTTATTTTCCAATATATATCATAACAAAACATTTTTGATATGTTTTATGTTAATATATTGGTTGAGTTTGGCAGAAAAAAGCACTAGCAAGCGCTTGTAAGCAAAATGGCGATCGTAAGCGGTAAGCGCTGTCAAATCGTAATTAGCTATTTTCCTCTAGCAAACGAAGTCAGTTTTAACCGGGGAACCTAACCTAATTTAAATATATGTTTGTAAAGTATTCGTATTAAAAACTTATCAATCATGAATTTTTAATAACATGTATATGTTTATTCATGACATTATATTACTTAAAACTGATATTGCACAAAACAACTTATAAACTCTACTTCAAAACAAACAAATTAAATAAGCAAAAAGGCAGATTTTGTCAGCGCTATTGAAGTTAACAAACGTGTCCTGGCCGTAAACTGTTTAGTTTCGCCATTTTGCTTACAAGCGCTTGCTAGCGCTTTTTTCTGCCCACCACCCATTGTTTTGTAGCTTCCAATGATCACATGCTCCTTCCTTGTTTGTTCAACTAACACGGGCCTGGTGCAGGGTTCACACGCCAGCTGCAGTACGTGCACCCGGCGGGCGGGTTCAGTGCGTTCGGCGCGGCGGACCCCTCGCCCTCCACCTGGCTCACGGCTTTCTGCCTAAGATACCTGAGAAAAACTTACCAGGTTAAACATTTGCGTTATGTATATTCTTAAATATTAATATGTTGTTTTAAATCAACTGTATAGTGGCTGTTTCAGAATACCTACTACTCTATAGCATATTTTCATTTACGTGTTCAATACTAGTTAGTAATACTACCTTGAAACCCACAGTCTTGTTACGCCAACTCCTTTTCCAAACTCGTGTTGAATTCGTTCCAATTGCGCACGAGTTTACAAAGTAAACTGTTCTTCTTAAGGCAATACCCCAACAAAAACCTTGCGATAGTACGCTTTTCAGAGATTATTATTTCATTAGTTATGAGAATTAGTAGAATTTCATCAGACTGTCATTGTTGCTATTGCTACGGCAATTGGACAAATAGTTTCTTAAAATCTCCGGACTACGGCAGCATCAACTTGCCTTAGCAGAATCACAGCAGTTTTCTTGTACTTTAATATTAGGGATTATTAGCATCTATATGACGAGATTACTTAAATAAAATGAAACTGGTAAGAAAATAGAACCAACTCATCCCTAAAAACGTGGATGACGATAATCCTTTAATAATATTTTTTTTTTATTTAAAACCCTCAAGTACTCAGAATTCTGGAAAACAATTCAGCGTATTGCATAAGACGGTATTTTCCATTTCGTGCTACGGCAATCTAAAAGTATTTTTCATACATTCAAGACAATTTTGCTCATCAAACACGGTCATTGAAAATTTATCTGCGTAAATTATTCGGACGTCGACGGGAAGCAACGATCGTTAATCCATATATTGTTATATACATAATATATTATTGTTACTTGTTTGACTGCCTCGTTGGTCTAGCGGTTGTAGTAGTGCGAATGCTGATCATGAGGTCCTGGGTTCGAATCCCGGGTCGGGCCAAAAAATCAATTATTGATTTTTTCTGTCAAGAAATTCTCAGTAGCTGCTCGGAGTGAGGAAGTTGGCGGTGTCTGACCCCCGTGCCTCGGAAAGCACGTAAAGCCGTTGGTCCTGCGCCTGATCTCTCTCCGGTCGTGTCGGTTTACCGTCCCATCGGATTATGAGAGTGAGGGAATAGAGAGTGCACCTGTGCTTGCGCATACACTTGGGCACTATAATCCTGTTCTGCGCCGATGGCTAGCCTCCGTTGAGACAGGCTGTCGTGGTTCGGTCTGGAAAATTCGGTCTGGAGGACATTATTATATGTACAGTTTTCTCATCTGGTTGGTTTCTAAAAATATATAATTATAAATTAAAATGAAAAGATAAATATACATAAATATCAATAAAATAAAATAAATACAAAAAATAAGCTAATAAATAAAGATCCAACCAGATGGAAGCCCTCGGTAGGGGAGACCAAACGGCCGAGGGTTAGGGGGAAAGGGAAAGAAACCGGCGGACGATGCGGGCGGTATCGAGGAGCACTGCCTTCTGCATTTGAGCCCGGAGCGTTCCGTCATGGAGTCCCAGTCGCCTCAGATAACCCGAGAGGCTGACTGGGATTAGGCCATTCGCAGAGACGACTACAGGAATAATTTCGGTCGGCCGACCACCCCACATGTCGGTCACCTCGTGAGCCAGGTCAAGATATTTTGTTCCCTTATCTGTTTCGGCTTTCACGAGGTTCTCGTCATACTGAATGGTAATGTCGACCAAAAATATCCTTGACTGTGCCCGGTCCATCAGCACAATATCAAGCTTATTCGCAAGAATAGTCCTGTGTGATGATGGCCCGGTCCCAGTAGAGCCTGGCGCGGTCATTTTCGAGCACGGCTTCCGGCAAGTACCTGTAATACGGCAATTTCCGGTCCACGAGACCGTATTTCAGAGCGAGCTCCTGGTGTAGAATTCTGGCTACTAGGTTGTGCCTGTGCAAGTACTCAGAGTTAGAAAAGCGCCGAACAACCGGAGATGACATGCCTAAGTGACTCCCCGGGATGGCGACAAGCTCGACAGACGTCGACGGTGCCATCCTTTAGGATGTATCTCCGATAGTTGTTGGTCTTACATTATTATATTATTGTTAATCCGGGTGGGTGTTGAGCGTGACAATTAAAGCAATTTTAGCGACAGTTTGAAGGGCCCATATACGGTAGGAAACTTACGCACTAATGATGAATCAAAAATTAAAAACAAAAACGAAAAATTATAGGTTATTTCACCTGGTCTACCAATGCCACCGGCGATTGAACGTGCTGAGCGTTGGCTTTTGGGACAACAGATGGAGAACGGTTGCTTCAGGAATGAAGGACATGTTTTCCACAGGGAACTTAAGGTACCAATAGATAGTTTTTTGTTTATATGAATAAAAAGTACGAAATCATTTAATTGGATGCCTATTATTTTGACCCAACTTGCCGCAGAAGGTAATATTTTTCGAATGTATGTCCATTTCTTTGGCACGCTCTGTAGCCTAAATGGCTTGATGGATTTTAACAAATTAGATTGTCATTTGATAATTTTATCTGGAAAGTTTTATATGGTGTCGTTATATTCGTTTTATTTGTAGAATTGGCAGGATATAAAACTTTCTCTTTTCAGCAAGTAAACTTCCTTACGCAGTCGGATTTCTTTAATTACCGTTTTAAACTATAATATATAGGGTGTTAGTGTAAACACCGTTATCCTTGAGACCAGTGGTTTGGTTTCACTTATAGAACGTAAATTCAATGAAAAATAATAACATTTTAAGTAAAATCTCAATTTTTTCCTTAATTCCTCAATTTTTCCCCGTCCTAAGCCAGGATGAAAGTATGAAGGAAAAGTTACATCACAGGTTATGTGTACCTATTGTGTTTATATTGGAATGTTGTGTAGGTAGCTAGCACGGGCGGTGATCTCCATCCATGAATTTACGAACGGTGTAGGACATAAACTTTTTAAATTTTATGAGAGAAAATAGCTTTTTTTAAATTCATTGAATTTACGTTCTATAAATGAAACCAAACCACTGGTTTCAAGGATAACGGTGTTTACACTAACACCCTGTATAATAGTGTTTGTTTATTATTACAATGTAATCGTATAAACTACTAAATGCAAAGTAGTGGGTTGGCATCTTGTTACTGGAAACTACGCATTTTGTCTTTCTTCTCAGAGGTGACAACGCATCTACATTTTGATTTTTAATGGAGAATGCAACTTACTATCAAGTGGGCTATGTGCTCGTTTTTGTCGCCCCTAATTTGTAAAATTAAAAATAATCCACATCACTTTAAAACACGCCAGCTTATAGGCTAGTGTATATACAGGTACAAAATGTAAAGTCTGGAAGTCTGGCAGCGTGTAAGACAGGTTTAAATAGCTAATAGATTATACTTATTAAAAAAAAAATTAAATAAATTTTAGGACGCGTTTACACCAAGTCACACATTTAATTATTATAACGTTTTAACGGCAGGGCGGCCTCAACGAAGAAGGGGAAATAGCGAGCGTAGCACTGACAGCCTACGTTATCACTTCGTTAGTGGAGAGTTCCGCAAACCTCCCCTTCAGAGTCATCCGTAACTCGCTCTCCTGCCTTCGAGCTTTTCCGCCCGCGAAGTCCAAGACCCATACGGGAGTTTACGCACATTCTTTACTCGCGTACGCTTTTATGCGGCTCAGGAGATATGAAGAGGAATTAAAGAAGACCAACGAAGCGTATTTGTGGGATAGAAGGGAAGTGCTCAGCGCTGGGCTGAAAGAGGATGAAGAGATGCGGGAATTGATGCTGTTGCTTAAACTGGCGAAGAGGAATCGAGATTACGTTTATTGGGAAAGCGGTTAGTTATTTTAATATGGACTAATTAAAATGAAATTAGAATAAAGTTTTCTTTCGAATAATCTTTAATTTAATCTAGTTTAATGTAATGTTACGAGCTTGGGGTCCGTGACAATAAAAACGGCCAATTACCAAAATTGACACTTTAATGACTGAACACCAATTACAACTTAAACACACTAAATTTCACTGCTGATCTCTTTAGTTAACAGTTATATCGCCTCGAAGTATTCGCTTGAATTGCCAATTCAGTACTGACTCGGGTCGCGGTCAATACCAGTCTTATATGGGGCCTTTTTACTGAAAAATCTAGAATGTTCGAGTATATACCGGTCCCGACTGACCAGATGTAGAAAGTTCTAGTATAGAACGATAGAACGTGACAGAAAACCGAATAACTGATTTTGACTCGATCCGGGATTCAAACCGTTGGGTTCATGATCAGCGTTTTGTATGAATGCTTACAACGTCGTACTTAGGCAGTTTGTCGACGTCGATCGAGGCGACGGGGTACGCGGCGCTGGCGCTGTCGCTGTGCCCGCGCGCGCTGCTCAGCGGCTGCGCAGCCGACGCACGCGCCGCCGCGCGCTGGCTCGCGCTTCACAGGAGCGCCGCCGGTGGGTTCGTCTCCACGCAGGTACTAGTACTCACAAGGCATTGCGATACTAATACATAGCGAACTAAATTTTAAAAAAAGGATTATCAGTTTACTAGTACACATCTATGAATTCCGACAAATCAGAATTACAACTGTGTCACAGCTGAGGATCGCGCGGGCGGCGACTGGGTGGGATAGCTGGCACAGCTAATATGTCACGCAGTTATATCTTCATTTACGACAGTTACTATCTTTAAGCTATATTTTGGTAGAGCCATGCTGCAGTTATATTAGAAGTATAGTTGTAGCACGAATGGGTCGGCTCGATCGGGGAAGGACCACGAGCTCACAGAATACCAGCGTAAAATAGTACCTTAGTGCTGCTGTGTTTCGTATGGTGAGTGTAGAGATACGGAGACCCTTTTTACTGGAAACGAGGCATTCTATCTTAGTCCTCACGGATGACAACGCATCTGCATTTTGATTCGTAATCGAGGATAGATGTAGATGTCTATGGGCCACAGCAACCACTTACCATCAGGTGAACTGTGTGCTCGTTTGTCACCCTATCTTATAAAAAAATATTACTAAATGAAGTTACGTACATATCTGAAATAAACTTCAAATCACGTTGACTTTTGACGTTGACATTGACTGAAATATTTTTGCGTTATTCCATTATTACTACAGATGACGAATTTTAACTTGTGATAAAAACAATTGCCACGCAACTTCCCGTCATAAATTATTTTACGCCCTATTAAAGCGTTTTCAAATGCCTAACTACATTTACTTTTAATATTTTCATTTTAGGATACGTTAGTAGCAATGGAGGCTTTGACCGCGTGGTCATCTCTACAACCGACACCGTTTTCTAATCTCACGGTAACAGCAAGCAACGGACGGCAGACGAAAACGGTCACCTTGCAGCCGGGAGAGAAGGTACCTGATATTATGAAAATGGGCAGTGGCGATCAGATTGATATTTCTGTTGAAGGTATGTAAACAATAGATGACAACTTGAATTCGACATGTCAATATATTTTAGTAATTCACGAACGCGTGAAGCAAACGAAAAAAAAAGAGCTATTTCATAAAATAAACATATCATTCATTAATTACTCATTCAAATGTGTCTCTATTAGGGATGGGCCGAACATGGATTTCACCGAATACGAATATTCGGCCGAAAGTTCGGTAAAACTTTTACCGAACCGAATATTCGTCCGAACATTATTCTGCAGGATCACCTCGGTACCTAATCAATTTCTGTCGAAACTTGTTACCGTAAAGCACGCGGGATTAGCGCGGGACCCTGCCACTCACTCCCCCGCAATACCTGACATGCCTTTGTATCATCATCTTGTACTGAGCAAATTGCCGGCGCACATGCTTATGCTTTGACTAGTTTTGGGAGAAAACAAATTCGTAGTGTTATTCTTAGTGAAAATTGATAATTATATGATAATAATGAGTGGCAGGAGCTCTACTATTTGGATTTATTTCAGAGAAACTGACGACCAAAGTAAAGTGAAATTTACTAACGTAATGTAATGTTTCTTTGTTTGATTTTTTTGACATTTTATCAAGCTTTCTATTTGTTATAATTGGAAATGAATCTAAATATATAATGTATCTAAAAATAATACAAGTAGATTTAACCCATAAATAAAATATACTTTCAGCAGTAAAATTATGAAAGACATGGCATTACTCAATTCATACATTTTAATACAATGTACACTGAGTATACTAATGTACCGAATGTTCAGTGATTTAGCCGAATATTCGGCCGAATACGAATATTCGGTAAAGCTGCCGAATATATATATATATATATATATATATAGGTATATTATCGAACAACTGATTGACACCCAAGGTGGTACGTAAAATAGACGCTAGATGGCCTGAATTTATGAAATTTATGAATATGTTAATTGTATTTGTTAATGTTTTACTGTTTACTGCCGCTGCCACGTCGCTGCCATTTCTATATGAAAATATTCATAGATATGAAAATAATTTCATAGATTATGAAAAGTGAACCATACAGATGGGAAACGCACGAAACTACCTTCAACCGGTTTTGATGGTTCTTTTTTATTGAAATTAATATTTAAATTTGTATTATTTACTTTACTTATTTTATTACTTATTTTATTTAAACGACGTATTTTAACTATGTTTAAAATATCTAAAGAAGTCTTCGACATTATTAATATACTTTTAAAAGTACGGGGCAGCCACTAATTTTTAAGAGTAGATTAATTTCCCTTCGAATGTTTATACTCTTTTCGACGTACCTTATAAGTACTCACTAATTACAAAAAGATTTATATCAATTTTACCTATTACAAAGTTGAGGTTTGGCCGTTCCTCACTGCTTGTTTATTACATAGGCACACGTCACCTTCGTACCTTGTTCCACAAAACGCGTAAGCGACGCCCTTTTGGCGGCGTTTACAACTTTTTTCTCGCGAGCATTGAGCTATAATCCTTCCTATCTCATTTTCTCCCACGTTAAATCTAATGAATTTATATGTCAGTCTCTATTTACTGTCGCGTTTTCGTTTCATAGACTTTCAAATCACAACGATGCTAAAGAAGTTTTCACTTCAAACGCCCTATCGTCCGAGCTGTCAGAGGTATAAACATTAGTACCAACTGGTGGATATTATATACTGGATGACCTTTTTACCGTCTGGAAAAAAATAAGGTGTAACATGTGAACGTAGTAGAAGCCTATGGCACTGAATTTTACAAAAAAATAAAAACGAAAATTTTGGACTAAAGTTTTGAATGTATACATACATTATATGACGATTTTGTATGATAAGGTCGTACATTATATGATAATTTAAAAAGGGTGTTCGTGCGTGCGGGTTTTTGATTTATGAACTTTTACGTCCCACATATACGTCATATATCATATTGATATCAATTAATTACAGTTAAAACAACGAGAAGAACAATTAGTATCTATTTCTTCACGTTATTGCGAGCCTATGACAGCTTACATGGCGGTTCACAAGGTATAATAATCACCCGAAAAGTCAGCGTTAGTTGTCGAGCAACCCCTTGTAAAACCAAATAATTTGTTTGTATTAAAAAACTTTATAATTAACCCAAAACGTTTATTTCAAAAATTGCACTGAGTTTTCGTAATAGATAAAGAGGTCAAAACTTAGCGGGGTACACCTACTGTCAGATTTACACACCAGATTCGATACTAGTATTAAAAGTAATAGAAAAGTGAGCTACAATTAAATCTATTATAGGTGCAATAACAGTAACGGGAATCCCCCATAAATGTCTGGATTTCTTTACATGAAGGTGCTTGAAATATTTTACAATATCTTGTAATAGTATGGACTTACCTACTTTCTATGGTGAAGCGGTGTGATCCTTGAGCAGCCTCGGGCCGAAGGTTATCTGCTGCTATCTTTGTAATATTCTTCAAATTGGTCGTTATAAACCGCAAATAGGTTTGAATTTACACAATACAATCGAATGTTCTGTACATTAGTTCTGTAAGTTATTCGCAAAATCATTCCGAACAACCATGCAAGAGTATAAATTTTAAATATGAGTAGAGGGAGATGAACTTTTCGTACACACCTTTCGAGCGCGTTGTTAAACAGACGACATTCTCAAGATACGAACATGAGATGTCGCTAGTGCAGTGCTCACAGAATCCGAAGTAAATTATAATGCCTGAATAATTTTTATTCCAGGCAGCGGCTGCGCGTTGGTGCAAGCCACTCGCTCGTACAATACCTTGTCCGGCGACTCGTCCGACGGCTCGCTGGGCGTGCACGTGTCGGTGCACACGGACGGCAAGTTTGACTGCGACCACGCCACCACGGCGTGTTTCTGTGCCGCCGTAATTGACGTGAGCATTAAGCCTCTTTTTCCATCTGTACTTATAGAAAAAGGAACGAGCGCACAGTCCATCTGATGGTAAATGGACCTCTATGTCTTTCCTCGACTAAGAATCAAAATGCAGATACTTTGCCACCCCTGACGACTAAGATAGAATGCCACGTTTTCAGTAAAAAGGGTCTCCAGTTCTCTACACTCGCCATAAAAAACACTCCAACATTGGGCTGCTATTTGACGCTTGTATTCTGTGAGAGTGTGGTCTTATCCTGGTCCAGCCGACCCATTCATGCTACAACCAAAATATAGCTGCAACATGACTCTACTAAATGGCTGTCTATTGTAAGGGACCCTTTGCAATTTTTCACATACGTATGCTCACATATTTCTTCCCCCAACCTAATCTGCCCCTTTTCAAACCTATTCGCCAAATACAGTGATGGTTAGATTAAAAACATACTGCGCATAGTTCCCATGCCGATTAAACATATTACAGTGCGCATTTCTTAAATATTATTTCCTTCACTTTCATGTTACACCATTATTTCAATGATTAATTTTAAAAAAATTAGTAAAACTTCCAGGTAGAATCAAACTATTTTGACCTTAAACTCAAACACAATGACAAAATTGGAGTAAACTGTATTACGGTATGGCCCTATATCATCGCGTTGGTGGTCGAAGAATATAATAGAATAATTTTTAATTCAATATATTTTACACATGATATATAATTTTACAATAATTTGGTGTTAAAGTATTTGAATTATATTTGTATTGGTATTTATATGAACCGAATAAATCTCTCATCTCATTCCCGGAGGTTATTTTCTTTCATGTATTTCCTAATGTTACTTAACTTCGCCATTCCAAGAAAGACAGTGGAATCCATAAGACTTAACTCCTCCCCACTTAAAAGCACATTGAAATTCAAATGCATTAGATTTTGTAAATTTCATACATTTAGTAAATTGTTGCCGTTTAAAAGCAAATTATTTGCGTTAAACCAATGTACTAATTACGAGACGGCATTATGTACATGTTTATTTGCATTAAAAACGCCTACATTGTGATAAGATGAAAAACAGATGTTGATAACATATTCCACTCCATATCTGTAGGCATGACGAACGATGAAGTGAACCGTTTGGTTCGAATTCATGCTAATTTGACAACGAAATAAATTGAATTGATTTCTCTTTGAGTTCAGCAAATAATACATTACCGTATTTGTCCCCTACAAAATAGGATAAGTCATTTATATAGATAAGGAACAGTAATGGGCCAACAATCAAGCCCTGAGGAATACCCATTGATACTACCGATCCGGAGGAACTTTTACCATTAATAAATCTTAGCGCATATTTTTTACACCATAATTTGTAGTTTCATGATGAATAAAGTTGAAGCTTTGGAAAGATTATGAAAAAAACCTAAAGCATCTTGTGAATTCTCCCAGTCATTAAAAACATATTTTATGAGTTCAACCCCAGTGTCAGTTGTCGTAATACATAGTTTTTGTGGAATAATTAAAATACTTTATAATCGAACCAAAACATTTATTTAAAAAATTTACTGAGATTTGGTGGTACCGAAATAGGTTTAAACTTAGCGGGATACTGTCAGATTTAGATAAACTTTTAATGTTTCATTAAATCATTAAACACAACAGATTCGATACTAGTATTAAAAATGAAGGAAGATGAGTTGCAATTAAATCTATTATGGACACAATATCTGTAACGGGAATCCCTCATAAATTTCTGCTTTTCTTTACATGAAGGGGCTTGACATATTTTACAATATTTATTTATATATTTTGTATAGGCTGTTTGAGTGTAGGTAATAGCATCTTCCTGATGGTAACAGATTCAAATAATAAAATACTACGGTGACCGACTGGCCTTCCAAGTGTGGCAACCAGAAAACCTTTTTACTGAAAATCAGACATTCATTTTGGTCATCAGAGGTAACAACACAACTGCATTTTGATTGTTATGCGAAGATTGATGTAGATGTCTATGGGCATTATTCACTTGTCATCTGAAGGAGAGTGTTTGTTACCCTAATTCTATAATATTTATATTTAAATCTTAAGATTAGAATACTAATTACATTAGGTACATAGAATGTAAGTAGGTGATGTATACGCGAACGTTATATAATAAACAACCGATTGTATTTTTATGTAATAAAAAATAAAAACAAATATCGCTGCAGGCTTGCGTGGTGTGGACTGGGCGGTTCCCGGAGATGGCTCTGCTGGAGGTGGCGCTGCCGGGCGGCTTCGGTGCGGACGCACAGCTGCTGTACGCACAGCTGCAGCAACACACCTGTACGTACACCGCCCTCTAATTATATTTATGACAAATACTCAAATGCTACTCTGTTTTAAGAAGTAGTTAAGTCTCGTGCTGTCTCCATCACTTTAAGTGAAAGTGATGCAGACAGCACGAGAACTAAAGGCATCTTAAGAGAGAAAGAGAGAGAGAGAGAGAAAGAGAGTATTTGGGCATTAGTCACCTACATATATTTCTGACCGTGTAGTGGCCTAGAATAGCGGCTTTGAATGTACCGTGAACAAATCGGGCATAAATCACGGCAGTCACTGCTACCCCCACCAGATCCAGATTTTCCAATAAAAACTCGAACAAAATGCAAACTATGTATTTATATAAATCTATTTGGTCCTTCGAGCTGGATATTTAACGGTAACCTATGAATTCCATATATTATAGGTTTCGAGCAGGTGCAGATTTGATGTTTACTAATTGATGCTGATTTTGTACGTAACCGGACAATATATGTAGACTTCTAAGAACATTTATTTATTTGTTTATTTATATAGGAAGAATTAATTATTTATGCATACATCGATTCCACTGAAGCAATCTTACCATCAGATGGATGTGAAGACGGATAGTTCGTTACCTCTACTTCTTTAAAGAAAAACTAATATTTATGCATTAATCTACGTTAGTGTTACGTCGCATTGAGCTGTCCAGCAACGGTGGTAAGGCCACCTTGTACCTGGGCGACCAGGCGGGTGGAGGTGAGTGGGGGGGTGGCGATGGGGGCAGCCGCTGCTTCGCGCTGCACGCCGTGGGACCCAGCGCAAGGACTAAGCCCGCACACGTCAAGCTCTTCGACTACTACCGCCCCTCGGTTAAAGATATACAGGTCAGTGTTGTTTAGTATTTGACTCGTACTGTTGTGCTATTGCCAGTGTCAAGTAATAAAAAACGAAAACTGTGCTTGTAATTAATTGTGTACACACGTACGAGGTGAAACTTCTTTACAGGGGCAGACCAATACCTGTATTTGGTGTGTGAATTTCGCGAGGTCCCTGGCGTCTATAATAGTATGTAGATTTCTATTACAATCCAGTCCTCTGTTGAACATAGGCCTCTGTAACGTCTGTCACGGTCTTGAGCCGCCTAGATACATCAACATAGTGCATGTTTGTGGTTCGGTCTTCATTCAGTAGTGGGGTCACCTTGTTTCGCTCACCACTGAGCTGTCACTCAAGAACCTTTCTATTCCATGGGTTGTAGGTTCTTCGAGTTATGGTCGGCCCGTTGCGCATTTTTATAGCATTGGAAGACAAACGAGCACAAAGTCCATGTGATGGTAAGTGGATGCCGTGGCCCACAGACATACACATTTATCCTCGATTAAGAACTAAAATGCAAATGCGTTGTCACCTCTGAGGACTAAGATGGAATGCCTCTATTACAATAAAAAGCATCTCCCAACAACACAGCAGCATTAAGCTACTATTTTACGTTGGTATCCTGTAAGAGCGTGGTCCTGCCCCGGTCGAGTCGACCCATTCGTGCTACAACTATACTACTAATATAACTGCACTGTGGCTCTACCATGTGTTCACTACCACTTCAACCTGGCCAAGCGTGGAATTATAGCAAATATCCTTTACTTTAAAACTTTAAAAGGTTGTAATGGTAGCGGTAACTGCATTCTGTGAGAGCGTGGTCCTAACCCGGTCGAGCTTATCCAATCGTGTAGTAACCTAATATAGCTACATCGTGGCCCTACCACGAATATAAAAAGTTAAAGTTACAGCCTGTTTACGTCCCACTCCTGGCACAGGCCTCAGCTCATTTCTGAGAGGGTTGTAGGACAAGGTATTGTCCGCCGCGCTGCCGAAATGCATGTTGGCGGACTTCACATGCCTTCGAAATATTTTTTCGTATTTCTCGGACATGCAGGTTACTTCAGGTTTTCCTTCGCACGTGATAAATCAGCACTTAAAATTGCAATTAACAATTTCATAGGTGCCGGCGCGGATCGAAACCGGATTGATCGCGTACTATGAAATTTACAGCGAGCGCTAACCACCTGAGCTACCACGACTCTTTTCCACCAATATAATTACCACTAAAAATAGTCACGTAACAGCAGAAGACATTAAAGTGTGTACGTGTGTGCAACACCTTATATTGTAATATTGTTTGTGCATACATAATTTGAAAATCATCGCTCCGGACGTTTTCAATGCCCTTCCTGCCACACTCCCTTCCCACCTTCACCCGTGTGCTGACAAGTACTCGAAGCTTCGTCAATTTGACAATTAATAAATTAAACACGCTAAAAGGTAAAAAAAAACATCTATGTATTGTGTTTTCATAAACAAGTAAACCATTATATCATATTATACAACGTTTATTTCTGAGTAACTAACACCTTTAAATTTTTTAACATCCAGATGTACACAATACCTGAAGATTGTCCAGCGCGCATAGCACACGAAACCAACGCCTATTTACCTACCGACAACCTTTTCAACAAAGCAAAATCACTCGAAACAGGAGAAATCCTCATCAGCAACGAGTTCTCTTTCGAAGACATACCCGAAGGCACGCCGTTAGAGGACCCCATTTACGAAAACATGGAAGAGAAAAAGGACATAATTGACATAAGCAAAACGAATGAAAATAGCCCTCATAAATATACCTACACGAACGTAACCGCTTTAAATATCATACAGTCGAAAGAACATTTACAAAAACAAAATGGTGGAAAGCATCCTAATTTAAATTTGTATGAAAATGCCAATTCCAATATTAAATCACAAGCCAACGATGAAAAGTTTGAAAGTAATAATAATAGCAGCAAGTTAATCGATTCTTATTTAACTGAAACTCAAATTGATGACAAAGAAAATCAAGTTTTAAATCAATCTACTAAACTAGTAAGCGAAAAAAATCTAGAACATTCGACCAATGGTGAAAAGTTTGAAACACAAAATGACGGAACTGAAGATAACGCCAAAGTCGACAATCCAAATTTATCAGATTTCCACGTGATTGATTCTGAAAAAGACCTTGAAGTTCCTTCCGGGATAGAAGGACCTGTGCCATCTGTGGTCCTACCACCAAAAGATTTTATTTTCAGATTGAATCAACCAGGTAAGATATTTATTTCTTGGCTGTAGCTGTAGGCCTTTACTGAATCCATATAAATATTATAGTGTTTAATACATATAGCAGTTTATATGATGGTATCTAGCTACTGCATCCTAAAAGGTAATCTTTTAGGATGCAGTGATTAAACAATAAAAAAATTGCCGTAGAGTTATTACTGTGAAATTTTACGACTATTTTTCTTGTTTGCTCTTCTTGTATTCTATTCAACTAATTTCATTCATCTCAACATTATCGAACATTCATGATAGGAAATTAAACCTCTTATGCACGAGGAATCCTGTACAGGGGTTAAAGTACCTAAAAGCATATATTTTGTATGGTTCGTGAGGTTAATGTGGTCATCCGGTTAATATGGGTTTTTTCATATATCTCGGAAACTAAATCCTTGTTTGAATAGATGGCTTTGTGATATGATAGGTCTTCATCGGTCTATCAAAAAATAAAGGGTCAAAAGGGCGGTGCTTTATCGACGCCATTTTGATAATTGAAATTATAGTAAATATTTTAGTCGATTTTAGTATTATGTATTATAGTTAGTTTTTTTAAGGTCTATTTTTAAAGTGTTCCTAATTATTTCCAAAGCTTGTTTGCTATTTTTTCGGAATGTATTAGTTATAGTATATGACTTCGAGTTTTTGTCTCTATCCTCCTCCTAGTTTTGGTTTTATATGGTGGCGAAACTTAAGGTGACCACGTACTTTATTGTTAAATGATTACGATAAATAGTTTTGTTTAATTTTGACATTTTCTTATACCAAAATAAAGTTTTAATTAGTCCACTGACATCCGAATGAACTTAAAACAAAGGCCACAGATGCAGTGTTATTCTGAGAATGGAGATGGAATGCCTCACAGCCTGTAACCATATGAACTCTATTTACCCTGCAGACCGGGACACACTGCAGTACAAACACTCTATGGCCTGTAATTATACTGGCACTCAGATAGAGAGCCTAAAGGTGACAACGCAACTTAAGCCTTTTTCTGTTTGAAACTGGCTTCAGGCTGCGTTCCGAAATAGAACCAAGTATCCTGTCAATGCAAATGACGTCATAAATCGACGCCATACTGGTGATTCGTTTCAAAACATGGGCCAGTATATTATGACATCATATATTTGCATCATATTGGAAAAGTGTTGGCGATTATTTTATATCATTTTGTGCTCCAAAGTTATTATATCCTGTTTTAAATAATTTGTGAACAATGGAGATACTAGCAATTGTGTTAGTGAACCGTGTTGCTATTGAAATTCATTCTGATTCATCCGATAGGGATACTGATGACGGTAATTTAGTGCTTGGCTGTTTGAAAATTGTTTTAATATGGCGGGATATCCGACACAATATGGCAGCGGCACTATTCTTAAGGGCCAATATTCTTAAGCCCACCAGATGTCGCTAGTTGGAACTGAGGTGAACATAATATTTGTCACGCGGATGGTCACACAGTGTTGTCATCATTGAAAAGTTGCGATTTAATTTCAAGGTTTTCTAAAAGTTTTAATTAAAAGTTTCTATTGTATATATCATACACAAAATAATGCCGTATTCTTTAATTTTTCGGCAATGACCGTAGTTTGGTTTATATTATATTACATTTATAATCTAATTGAAATAAAATAATAGTAATATTTCAGAAAAAAAATATTAATCTATACTTTTCTAAAAAATTAACTTTCCCGCTGTGAAATCTGTCAAATATTTAACCTCATTCCTAAGTGGCGCCGCCCTGGTGGCAAAGAAGTCATAGATGCCCTCTGTTTCATATAAAATAGACTTGGAGGCACAAACAAGTACGGAGGGTGGTGCCACGCTGACAGACAGAAAACCAAAATTATTTCAATGAAAACCCAAAATGCACCTTCTCTAAAATGTATGTAAGTGGTGTACTAGTGTAAAATATATTATGTCCTGCAGTGATACACGCTTAATCTGTACCTTTGTTTTTTTATTTACAGATTTTTATACAGATCCGTCGTCTTACGAACGTAATTGGAGGCCATTTCACCCATCAGCGTACAGTCAAGGTATTAACGTCAAACGAAATATACGACACAGAAGAAAAAGGAACTACATACAGGGCTGAAACAGAATCCATAATTTGTCAATATGTAATTATATGATCCTAAAATAACTTCGAAATACGCCAGCAGTCAGGGCCTTCATAATTTTAGCATTTTTAAAAATAAATTAGTAAGCACGACAAGAATTAAACCTGCCAACCCCCTCAATTTAAAAATGTATAATTAATAAGGATATTATGCCATGATGAGCGATCGTCGATATCATATTCAAAAATAAGTTTAAAGTCAAAGCAGTATTTATTGCAAGCGGCTTAAGGTTGAAATTTAAAAGCAAGAGAAACGTACCTCATTTAGAGTTAAACAAAATACATTTAAAAAAAAGTAAATGCCAACACAGCTTACTACTACAATATTTTCTACGACGCAAATGAAAATAAAATCATTTCAACCTAGAAGCACGCAATACTTATTAATTCAATTGGACCCTCATACTTTTTATAAAATTACAAAAAGAAAAGTAAAAGTAAATAAGCCTTGTGTAACACAAGACAAAAAGAAAAGAATGGGGTAAACATAAATCCACACAGATAAATTTTAAGGATGTAATTGTAATAAAAAGTAAATGTATTTAGTGTAAAACATTCTGCTCAAGATCATCTAGACTGACATTTTATATCACTATACAAGATGAAGTTATTCTTAAATCATTTATAATTTGCTTTTGATCAATTAGTATTAATTATATGTAAGTATTTATTAATGTAATTCTTTAAGACTGAATGGTATTGCCAGCATTTTGTTATAATTAAAAATATATTCATTTTTTTATTATTTCTTTTCCCTACAAATCCCAAGCCGTTAGGCAGTGAACACAAATAAAACATGAGGGCACTCATTACGCCAAAAAATGACCCAACCCAATATGAGCTGCGATAGGTGTAGCTTATCAATTGCACTGATCAATTATAATAAGCAACGTATATAATATAAATAACTACTGGTAACTAAAATTAGTGCCAAATCGATTGAGAAAAACGGACGATGACCTCAGATATGAGCAGAGATATTTAAATATTGATATTATTCCCACTTCTGGATCGGCACATATGTTTTGTTTTTTTGTTTCTCAAATAATATTGTCCGTGGTTCCTATAAACATCGTAAAATCTTACGGTACATCGCGAAAAATGTGTTATATTTTATATTTCAATTTATGGTAAGTAACACAGCAATTCATTTAATAACAGTTTCATATTAAAAAATATTTGAAGCAATGTAACCACCATATTGAACTTTTGCAAATTCATCCCTAAATAAACAAAACGCGCGTTACGTCAGTTCGTTCTAAAAGAAACGTGACAACGGCAGCCAGAGATGCGTCACTTTTTTGGGCCGACCCGAATAAAAATAAAATTCTTATATAATATTGAAAATAAATTTTATCTTTTGAATAAGTACGTATTTTTTCGGTGTCGTTTTCACTCGAATCTTTATACGTGTTATAAATTAATGCTTTTTGTTGTTAAATGAATAAAGTACTTTATAACAATAGATGACTTTTCTTCTACAGCGATCTTTTACATAACTTTTTAATAATACTTAATAAATATATATTATATCAATCTTATAAAAAATAATTATAAATAAAGAAAGTACTACATATAAAAAGTGCCTATATATTGAAGGTTTATAGCCTTTGGTTAAACGACCGAAAGGTCAATGTCCGTTTTTCTCAATCGATTTGACACGAACTATATCAACCTACTAGATATTCGCCGTCACTCTGTCCAACTGATGACCCTGCCAGTTGTGAAAACGAGAAAAAGCGAATATCGAGTGCGTTTATTGTTAGCTGTTTCTTTGCCAACCTAAATGCCAAAGCCTTTACAAATACTTTAAGCTATTATATTAAATGAAATTTTATTGTAACACGGTAAAGACTAATCAAGAAGACTAGTCAAGTGTTTATCATTTTGCACAAATAAAAGCGCGTGCTGATTTCTTTTCAAAATTAGTAAACATACGTGGTTGAGCCACACTGCAGCTATATTTTCGTTGAAGCACGAATGGGTCGGCTCGACCACGTTTTCGCAGAATACCAGCGTAAAATAGCAGCTTCACACGGAACTTCAGTACCTATTCAGTACTGGTGCGCTAACTTCACACGGTTCAATAATCGGTTACTTAAGTCCCTTGTATGATATTGATTATTCGAACTCATTTAAATTCTGAACTCTCGAAACCGTAGCAAATTTTTTTACATCTTTATACCAACGAGTATGTGTATATGTATCTATCGACACTCACTGGTAACGTCTGATCGTAGCTCGATCGTGTTTACTCAATCCAAATTGGCCTGAAACGAAAAATCCCTCATTTTGAATCAAAAACTGAATTGTGTTCGAAAACAATTTCGGGATTAAGCTCTGTGAATGCTAGTCTAGTAGGACTATAGTGAACGAGTAAGGTTCGTGTATCAATACACGAAGCTTCCGGCAGATGTTCGACAACTGATTGCAGCGAAGAATACCGCGCTAACATCTTATAATCGTTATCGCACGGAAGATAATGAAATTCGGCTACGTTCTCTACAAAACGAGATTAAACAATGCAAGTTAAAAATTATTAATGGGAAAAGCACAAATATGATAACGGATGGGGCGCGTCTACCCGTAGACGGGCACGACGCATTTCAACACACACCGCTTACCTAGGCGGTTACCGCCCGCCCAGGACATCGACCGACACGAGCTAGCAGTCAGAGACGGGGGTCCTCACTCCCCCACTTAGACAGCGGCTAGACAGCTCAAGAGCCCCACAGAGGCGACATGATGATTGGTAACAATACCAAATCATAAACCATCATTATTATTATTCTCATCACCATTGCCTTTCCGCCTTGCCGCGAGCCCTGAGTCAGATGAAGGTCCAGGAGCCGCATAGGCTAACAGCACAAACATCACAGAAAATAGTTTACGAGTATGTGCGTAAGCACAGGTGCACTCTCTACTAGCTCTACTCTACTAGTAATCGGGAAGCGTTGTCTGATTGACGAGTCTGTTGACGAGTTCGCGGAGTATTTTTATTCTGTTTATAGTTCATAGCATGAAGGTTAGAGAACAGGAGAACGATCGCTACGTACTAAAGCATAGTCCGCCTGTCCTTGAAAATTTGTAAAATTTATAGCGACGCTGCCGTCGGTGAGTAGTGCCTGCGAAGTTAGCTGTTTATGAGTACAAGTAGGTGAAGTTAGTTACAGTTTTTCTTTGCGACATTGGTGAGAAAATTTTCATGCTCCGTAATTTTTTATTTTTGACAAAAAGAAACATTAAAAAATGGAGAAATATTTTATTGTGCGTGGATGTGCAAGTGGTTTAGCATCTGATCGGAAAAATAGACTGAAAATGACTTTTATTGAACACCCCTCACATTGTCCATTTTCTACCATCTTCTCCTGTTCTCTAACCTCCATAGTTCCGAGCGGTCGGATTTGGATGTGGGCTCGGCTATAGTAGGAGCAGGTAGCAGAGACGGAGCAGCGCGGATGCACTTTGACCAATTACAGTTGGCAGCCGTATGTCGTGCGCTCCAAGAACTCAATCCCAAACGGTTTGCAGGACCTGACGGCATTCCGCCTTACATTTTTAAGGATTGTCGGTCGGTACTAGCTAAGCCACTACTGCATATATATAACAAATCCCTTAAGGCTGCGGTGTTTCCAGAGAGGTGGAAAGTAACCTGCGTTGTTCCGGTTCCAAAGGGAGGTTCAGCAGAATCAGTGGATGTGTACAGGCCTGTTGCAGTGTTGTCTACGCCAGCAAAAGTATTCGAAGCCGCTATTTATAAGATAATATTCCATCAGGTGAGCGCACAACTCCATCGGCCAGGAAACAGTACAACCAATAACCTTCTCTGTTAGATGGCTCATCTGGTACCGAGTGGAGACAAAGGGGTACAAACAGATGCGGCGTTTTTTGACTACAAAAAACATTTGATTTAATAGATCATAGCGTATTACTTAAAAAGCTAGCAGGTGTGGGTTTTACCCCACATTTACTCCACTTTTTTGCGAGTCATATAGGCCGATAGGCAGCAATATGTGGAATATGCGGGACATAAGTCAGAGCCATATTCCACGTGGTCCGGAGTAAGTCAGGGAAGTATCCTTGGCCCTTTGGAGTTTTTGCTGATGATAAACGACCTACTAGAAGTGGTGAAAGACGCTAAGGGCTTATTGTTTGTTGACGACTTCAAATTGTCCCTCGCGGTAAAAATGGGGATAACTGTGCCGGACTACAAAGGGACATAGACAGGGTTGTGAGTTGGAGCAAAGACAATCTCTTGCAATTTTACAGCTCTAAGTGTGCGTTAATTACCTTTTCTCGCGCACACACTCCTATTTTACATAATTATCACATTGACGGGCTGGTGATGACGATAGTCAGAGAAGTTAAGGATTTAGGAGTAACTTTTAACACAAAGGTTACTTTTTATGATTACATCATGAGCATCTGTAAAAAAGCTTATAGAAATCTAGGATTTATGCTTCGCACAGTGAGAGGATTCACAAACATAAAAGCGATTATCGCCTTATATATTCATTGGTAAGAAGTCAACTTGAATGTAGGTACTCGTAATGCAGTTATCTGCGCTCCGCATGAAACTAAGTATAGTCTCATGCTAGAACGAGTACAAAATAAATTCATTAGATATTTATATATGCGTTGTTATGGTTTCTACTCAATTTACCCTTTAATGTATCCAATTTTGCTTATATTAGGTACGGTAGGATTTAATGAACTAAGGGTTAGAAAAGAACTCGCGCTCACCTCGTACATTTTTAAAATACTGCGAGGAAAATTGTATAATGCTGAAATATTTGTGCTCCTGAGAGTTATGTGTGGACCGACGGCAACCGCGACTGTTGGTGGAGCCGCGAGGTCGTATCGGACCAACCTTCTGAGTGAGGCACCTTTATAGCGCGCACTCCGCACGCTAGCTTGCGTGACGCACCTGTTTTGTTTTACTCGGAGTGAATTCACAAGGACAGCATTGTTAGTAA